GGTATAGTGCCGCTAACAATTTAAGGAGCCCAAGCAATATTCAAAATAATTAATATGACAGCCAGATGTTTATTTGTTTTAAAAAGTTATTTTGGATGCATAAAATTAGACGCCCTTCAGAAGAGATTTTGTCTTTTAAAAGTAAACATAGGGAAAAACAATGCACATAAATCCCTATGTCTACTTCTTAATATATAGCACCGTAGATACATGCTTTGTACAACATTTGCATAATAGGAATATACGAATGGGAATATGTCAGATATTGTGAGAAAAAACTTAAAAGAATATTCTCCATTTATGTTCAATATTCTTAGAACTTGATGCATATATATCACTTGGGATATTCTTGGGATATAAACTTACAGAATATTCTCAGTTTATTTTTAATATTATTTGTATATGAGGTAATATTTCGAATATTCTGAACATAAACTTGAAAGAACGGTATCCGTTCCTCCCCTCATACCACGATTTATACATCGGCAACGGTCGTAATATTGTCAATTCCTACAAAAGCGTATCATTTCTTTCGAACTTTAAGTATCCTGTATAGTTCCGTTATTTCCAGTGGCTCCCTTCCCCGCTTTGCGAACTTTATCTTTGCTTCATTGGTTCATTCCGAGGTTCATTCATAGCTTAGTTTACTATATAAGACGATAAAGGGATATTTTAACCATTTAGTCAATTAACTTTCATGAGATGGTTAGTTTCTCTTCATCGTCGTGTATCATACAAAACTTTATTTTATAGCAGAAATCATATAAATCATAAATCATTGTAAAGCTTCTGACAATTCTGAATTTAATTTAAACGTCAAAAATAAGAAACTTAAGTTCTGAACGCCATTTTATATCGTGCTCCGTATCCCATTTGAAATAAGAATGACAGAAGTCATTAGGATGCATAATCATCTGTTTGACTTTAACTACTCTTGCGGTTATAGTGATCACTTTATCTACCCTCACGATATTAGCCTACTCATTCAAACCTATTATAATGTCAATTTAACATATGCTATAAAATAAACAAAATTAAATGCCTTATTTGTTCTGGAGTTACTGAAATATTCGACCCAAGTGGAACCAAAGCGCTGGTGTGAAAGCTTTGGTTGGAGATATCGGTTTTGAAAGTTTAAGGACTTAAATAAGATGTGTTTATGCATATTCTAGCATGAAAAGAAAATTTCTGTCCCGTATGGTTTTTTGACAGGGCCGCCTTTCGCCGCCACATTGTTGGGAACCTTATTTTACATTCATTACGAATATGCAATAGGATAAATACGGTTACGCAAAAATTATTAAACAACTACTAATATTGAACAAATACGCTTGAGTTGAAACCTAATTATGCAAATAATTCAAAGACTGTTTTCTAGGCTGTTTATCGATTAAAAATTCTAGAAAGAGGATGTAATACAATTTGTAATAAACTAAAACTGAGAAAAATGTAGTGGAGCTCAAAAAAAGATAACAATTCTTGTTGTATGTGTCAAAAAACCATACGGGACAATTTTCTTTTCATCCTAGAATATGCACCAACACATCCTAAAACTTTCAAACCGATATCTCCAACCGTTTTCATACCAGCGCTTTGGGTCCATCTTTATTAGCCACTCTGTATAGTGTTGTGGTCACTATTCAGCGTTTAGAATAGAATTAAATAACACTAATAACATTTTTTATATTTGATTAAATGGCATATTCAAATTATCACCATGTAAACTAAATACAACTGTTTTAGATCCACCCATGGATCGCCACAGTGTATATACCTTCTTTATCAGATTCTTAATTTGAAAACCTCAAGTGGCTTACGTTAAATGCTTTGCTGATTCAACACTTTTATAAACATTTTATCAAAAAGGAAAAATTTGATCGGTAGCTATGATTTCATTCAAGTTACATTTGTATTCACTTTAAAAAGACTTGGACCAGCTAATTATGCTTTTGTTGTTAAATGAATGTTCTAACTTAGTAGAGCAGTTTTTAAAGATCCAACAACCCTAAAAAACCCTGAACGTCGCTCTGACTTTATTAAGTGGCAGAGCAAAGTGTCGCAAGCTTTATAGGCGAGTCCACGATGTCCGTCTGTCTGTCTTTCCGTGAACACGATAACTGCTAAGCGATTCGGCCTAAACCTTGCAAAGTTGACATACGTACCACATGTAACAAACCTATTGAAAGTGGATCAAATCTAGGGGTCACTCCGAGGTGCTCTGCCGGTTTTTTAGGTTTCAATTTTTGATCGATTCAACGCATGTTTGACGCTTGTAAATGCATTAAATGTCAACTGACAGATCCAGACGTTTCTGCTTTTTGATCTTTTCATTCCCTCACAAAAAGGATAGAGCTCATTCAATATGGCGGGAGACTGAACTAATTAAAGATGAGTGGAGGAGGATCGTTATACCTATAAGAGTTTTTTGTCCATCTCGAGATTTAAACAAAAAGCATACTATTGTACATGAAAGTATTCCACAAATTGTTTACAAGAAATTAGCGTTATACAATTTAATTTTCGCATATGTTGCAATACTCCATCTACAATTACATTGAAAATAATGAAAAAGAAAAATCAATGGGAAAGTATGGAACATGTATAAAGTTACACATGTTCCCAATAAATCACACCGTCTAATAATATTTGTTATAAAGTCACGTCAAAGCTGCTTGCTCGAGAGTCTAGAATAACTCCTTTTAAACTTCTTTTGTTGTTTTTCATTATCGATCATAGTGCAAACTTGCAGACAGTTCCACGAGATGCATCCTTACTCGCTCGAGAGTTGAAATTGACAAAGATGATTTAAGTTTAGCACAAGGAGAAATGTGTAATTTCCAGTTTCTTTGATCTACGATTCCGACAGAAGTTGGATTCACGAAGGAAGTTTTACAATCACTTATTGTAATTGGCCATTTGCTAAGTTAGGTTATTACAGCCGCCTCCCGCTAATTATATTACGGCTTTACTATGTATACAGTAATAGCGAAATGATCTCTTGGGCTTTCTCTTATGTGAAGCCTGTTCTAAAAACTAATTTCAGCTTTTGCGGATGACCTATACGGTGCAGCGTTTAATTAAGCTTAACGTTTAGTTAAAATTAGTTACAAAATTAACAGAAAGTCGACTTAGATCGATTAAAAAATTAGCGTTTCTGAAGGATTATTGCGTGAAGAACTAGCAGAAGTGAGACAGGCATGACGGAAAGTATATTAAATTTGGATGAAGTCTTCTCCATTTACCTTCTATGGGACATACAATAACTTTGATCTTTTACATTAAATTATGGTATGAGAAACATGTATAAGATTTTTTTTTCCTAAATGGGAATTGGGAAATACCTAAAGCACATCCCTGCTGTTGGTGAAGATCTATGCATGGCGAGTGTGGGACCTACCCCGACTAAAACCCGTCTCCTAATTCCTCTGTGCCATTCACAGTTACACAAAGCAGGCATCACCAAGAGTATTCCTTTACCGAATACGCTGTTTAAACCGCCAGGTCATACGCCTATTTATGGTTGTTTGGCAGTATTTTTAGCATTATATACGCGACACAGACATCAATAATAGTAATAAAAATTACCTAAGTATTAACTTAACTAGATTTATCGGCACTAACTAAAATCAGATACTTATTGGGTGTCTGCTATTTATCAACTTAGTAGGTTGCCCGATCCTCTCAGCGGTCATTATGGCCGCTTTATATTGTGGGATTCAATTTCAAACACGAGGCACTTCTTATTTTGGTCGCATTTAGTCTTGTAGTGGCTCTTCTCTCCGCAATTAAGGCACTCACAGGTGCAAGCCCACACTGATTCACCTCCACGCTCTTCTCAATGAAGCATCGGGTTATTCCCACCCCTGCCTACGCCTATGCGGACAGCTGTCGATCTCGTCCCGTTGGATGCAGCTTTACTCTTTGACATGTCGCCCATTTCCTTAGCTTCTTCGCCTCAGAGCTGGGCAGAATACTTTCAAAAAGTATTTGAATACTAAATAGTCAATACTTTACACAAATCAAAGGTATTTGAATACTAAATACTTTTACGTTCAACACAAGCGAATACTAGATACAGATACATTGAAAAGGATTCAAATACTTAAAAAAATAAGTATTCAAATACTTTAGAATGTATTCGAATACTTTCAGTAGAAAGAATTGGGACCCACACCATTTTGTTCAGAAATGTTTGAACCTTCAGAATCTCGCTTTACGACATTATCCCGTGGTCCTGACAAAAGTTATAGGCCGCTAAAGTTGAAATTTACTCATTTTCGCGCGCGCGACTAGACCACCGAAAGTATTTATTTTCTCAGCAACTAAGCGATATACATCAATAATTCCTTTTGTAAAATGACGGTACATTTATAGCAGAATCTAAAGCATTCAATTTACCTACCTTGTTATGGACAGTTTTTAGAAAAATGACCGTCAACTTCCAAAATTCGTGTAGCAGATGAAAAGTGCGCACTTTGAACTCTCATAACTTTTCATTTCACGATATGGATTTCCAATATTTATAGCTCATTCGATGCTCCAAACCATTGTGATTATTTTATTTTCTATAACATTACCGTGAATTTTTCATTATAAAAAAGTTACGGTCATTTAAGTAAAAACCTACCGACCTCGCCGAGTCGGTAATCGCGAGTGAGACGGAGAGGGAAGGATAGTCAGCAGCGTTCGCTAAGCAAGGAGCGATGCGTAAAAGATTTTACTTTACTAAGAAATTTCTCTCCGAATACCAAAACTAGCTATTTAGGCCGTTTAGTTTACAAATGCATTCCGCCGAGTTGCATTGTAACATCTCAAACAATTCATTAACTCCATGTATCTCAGTTCTTTGGTGAAATATATAGGTACAAATAGGTACCTTTCCCTGTAAATTTTGGGGGTTACTCCACAATAGGTATCTCTTGTGCTGTGCTGTATATTGCAAGATCAGCAGTAACAACGGTATGATTTTGTCCCAAAGATTCAGGCTTGTTTTTTGATTTCACTAGACGATGGTTAGGATGGTATTGTAGCTCGCTGGTGGAAAATTCAAAAACGGCATAGGTATATTATATTGAATGGTAGATACCGGAACTTACTTAGGAGGATTATCAGCAGGTACTTATGCTGTTAAAGTCAGTATTCTGGTCGTTATCTAGTGATAGGTAAACCTGGTGGTCAATCATTTCTAGACATGCCGTCTGCATGATCTCGAATTTAAACTTAACTTAAATAATTTAAATATGTAGTCATCTCAATAATTTCAAAACTTTTATGAGTTTATTTTTCCCCCCCGGTTCTTTTGAAATGTGTTAAATTCAACTTTCAACTTTTAATGTAATAATTCAACCCTCCGGTTGGTTGTCTTAAGTCTTAACAAGGCTTGATAATAATTCGTTTTGAAACTTAGGACAACCTTTCCGGTTTAACCACCCTTCAGGTTTTTTCACTTGGCTTCGGCCAGTAATAATTAAAAAACAACATGTTCGTCTTATTCGTCTTCAACGTTTGTAACTTACCGTTTTCCTGTTAAATTTCACATCGCCTGATGATGGCAGTACGCCGAAGCCATAGTCGCTTTTATTTTTAAAAACTTCAACGAATAAAAACTAATGGGGAAGGTTTAGAGAGTTTTGATCACACAATATATTTCAACCCCCATTTCGAGGAACGATGGATCCAAACACCAAAAAAAAATCCATGTATTCATTTAGGAGCCACCCTCAAAAAAGTGGTAAAGTTTCTTTTTTTCTCAGCAACAGTTACAGAGACTGGTGGTAAGTCTTTGAATAGGTTTTGCTGTATGCCCTTTCCGGTTTTGCAAATAATTTTTCAAAATTCCTACCACAAAAGGGCACACCCCTCAATAGGGGTGCGAAAAAATGTTGATTTCAACGAAATTTGGTATCTGGTGGTTTTTGAATATAAAAATAACGAATCTGAAATTAGTTTTTGAAAATTCGAAAAAATAATTCCACTGCAATTCTTGGCCGGACAACGAAAATTGACAAAATTCCACGAAGTTTGTTGTCTAGGTACATACTTACGGAACAAAATTATTGAACAGTTTTTCTTAAGGTCATTTTTTAAACAAAAGTTACACTCATTTGCAAATTGGTCTTTCGGGTCAGAAAATGTTCTCCGACAGTGGCATAACAAGTACAGTAAACGTCAATATTTCATGTTCTGCTAAGGGTGTCTACCTACATTTCACAAAAATTTGTCAAATAAAAAATGATAATTTTATCACAGCGAGCAACTTCGACATCAATGAGGAAACAGTCACAGAATAAGAATAAGTAGGCCATATTCTGTGGAAACAGACGAAAAAAATTCACAGTCCTTTTTCAAAAGCGAGATACATCGACAGAAGAAATCCAAATTCCTCGTTTACCTATCACTAGATAACGACCAGATAACTGACTTTAACAGCCTAAGTATCTGCTGATAATCCTCCTAAGTAAGTTCCGGTATCTACCATTCAATATAATATACCTATGCCGTTTTTGAATTCTCCACCAGCGAGCTACAATACCATCCTAACCATCGAACTTGCCTTACATGGAAAAAATTTAAAAAGAAATTGTACGATTATCTAGTCAATGGGTGTTTCTACAACATACAAGGATTTTTTATATCTTCCAACATTGAATTGTTTGTTTGTTTAACTGTTCGTTTGTTTAATTAATGTTATATTGACTTGTTCCATACAAATGTTATTTGTCGAAGGAATTAAATAAAAATGAATGAATGAATGAATGAATCGTCTAGTGAAATCAAAAAACAAACCTGAATCTTTGGGACAAAATCATACCGTTGTTACTGCTGATCTTGCAATATACAGCACAGCACAAGAGATACCTGATGTGGAGTAACCCCCAAAATTTACAGGGAAAGGTACCTATTTGTACCTATATATTTCACCAAAGAACTGAGATACACGGAGTTAATGAATTGTTTGAGATTTTACAATGCAACTCGGCGGAATGCATTTGTAAACGCTTAAACGGCCTAAATAGCTAGTTTTGGTATTCGGAGAGAAATTTCTTAGTAAAGTAGAATCTCTTACGCATCGCTCCTTGTTTAGCGAACGCTGCTGACTATCCTTCCCTCTCCGTCTCACTCGCGACTCCCGACTCGGCGAGGTCGGTAGGTTTTTACTTAAATGACCGTAACTTTTTTATTATGAAAAATTCACGGTAATCTTATAGAAAATAAAATAATCACAATGCTTTGGAGCATCGAATGAGCTATAAATATTGGAAATCGATATCGTGAAATAAAAAGTTATGAGAGTTCAAAGTGCGCACCTTTTATCTGCTACACGAATTTTGGAAGTTGACGGTCATTTTTCTAAAAACTGTGCATAACAAGGTAGGTAAATGGAATGCTTTAGATTCTGCTATAAATGTACTTTCATTTTACAAAAGGAATGATTGATGTATATCGCTTAGTTGCTGAGAAAATAAATACTTTCGGTGGTCTAGTCGCGCGCGCGAAAATGAGTAAATTTCAACTTTAGCGGCCTATAACTTTTGTCAGGACCACGGGAAAATGTCGTAAAGCGAGATTCTGAATGTTCAAACATTTCTGAACAAAATGGTGTGGGTCCCAATTCTTTCTACTCCGAAAAAATTTTTTGAACGATTTCGCGGCTCTCTCCGCTCGCTGCACTACTAAACATTTCTAAATTGTTCTCAAATATTTGAATAACTTAAAAGTACTGCCTTTTTTTGAGGCCGGAAAAAAATTGTCTGAGATCGAGATCGATCGAGAGTCCATAATTTCAAACAGTTTGAAGATTGGGCTAGTAGATCAAAAGTTACAGCCCTTTGAATTATTTTTCGAAATTTGTTTTTTGTCCATAACTTTTTATTGAGAGGTCTAATCGAAAACGTACGAATTGTTTTGGATTCTACGCACCAAAATTAATAAGAAAAAGTGTTTTTCCGAGAAATTTTGGTGCAGTCGATTTTTGGTAAAAAAGGAAGGTTATACACTGCCTTTTTTTGAGGCCCGCAAAAAAAATTGTCTCAGATCGACCCGGAAAAAAAATGTTCTTATAGAATGTGGCCTGTAGAATCCATAATTTCAAATAGTTCCAAGATTGGGCTAAGCCCTTTGAATTTTCTTTCGAAATTGGTTTCTAGTCTATAACTTTTGATTGAGAAGTCTGATCGAAAAAAGTACGAATTGTTTTGGATTCTACGCACCAAAGTTAATAAGAAAAAGTGTTTTCCCGAGAAATTTTGGAGTAGTCGACTTTTGGTAGATAAAAAAGGAAGGTTAAGTATTCAAATACCTTGCGAAGTATTCGAATACTAAATATTTGTGAAAGTATTTGAGTTACAAAAACAAATACTGCTTCCATAAAAGTATTTAATTACAAAGTATTTGTATACTTTAAAGGATTTGAATACTAAACAGTATTTACTCGAATACTGCCCAGCTCTGCTTCGCCTAGTGCGTTTATCATTTTCTTCTTTTTTGGTGATTTCATCTAGCTCCCCCATATAATAAGCGGCTTTATCTTATTCATCTCGAACTTTGTATTCCACCGCGCGTCTCAATTCCTTTTTAAGTTTTTCCTTTAACTCCGCCATGTTTCCCTTGGGTTTATCAAGGATTATTATTAGTTGACCTTTTGATTTTTTTGTGACCTTTAATGCCATTTTTTCTTCTCCCGCCAGGACATTTCTCACTCCTTTGAGTAGTATGTCTTTTTATTGTCGTCAGTGACAGTTATAAGCCACCTCCCCAGGTTCTCTTTTATTCCTGTAGTTCCCTTTCTGACTTCTGTTTAATGTTCATCCCATCTAGGCAGTAGCATTGTGTAAAGAATAGATAGACATACACATTCCGCTAGTTTCATACACAATCCTTCCGCGGCGGCCAAAATAAGTATCTCTCCGTGTCTTACATTTCCTGGTCTTCCCCCTCCTCAATTAAGGCTTTCGCCTTTCTGAAGGTTATCTTGCCACCCCTATATATTTGTAGCATACTGATCCTGTCCTTAAATTAAGAATATCATCTTCCAATATTCATTCTAATATCATCATGTCCCCCCCCCACCCCTCCCTTTTACCATGTGAAAGTACTTCATCTTCGCGCCATTGCTTTTCTTCAATTATCACATTTCTTTCCGCTCCCATGGGGCCATACCTTGCATGCGGTAGTCCGTGCTGCCTCGAATTCCATACAATTTTTCGCCATATTACAAGTCTTCTTGCTTTAACGTCGATTGGTGAGGACAATTTATCTGTCAAAACCCGTGAAACTTCCATGACAAATAACCCATAGGATAGTAACTTCGTTCTCCTACTAAAACTATTTACACGACACACTTTCGTTACGATCGTCTAACAAAAATAAATTCGCGCAATACTGGGCCCATAACCTGATGGGATCTGTCATTAAAGAAGTCTTGCACGCATTGAATGGTAAAAAAGAAATGTAATTTACATGGCAAAAAGCAAACATCAATATCTTATTTACTATCGTTCTCATAGCAACACATTAACATTCGAAATTAATAAGGGCTGGTTATTTGTTTTTTCTATCAAGCGAAAGTACATGACCTTAATCAGTAATTTCTCTGAAGTTTTTTACTTGATATTTTCTCTTCTCCAATTACCTTTTATGAGACTTATACAATAACTTTGATCTTTTAAATTACATTTGGGATGAGAAACTAAAGAAAATATAAGAATGAAATGTCTAATATAATCTTAGGTACTGAGAATAAATCTGAAATCGCATTATTATTTCGATGGTCCTTTTTTTCTAAAAGCACGATTCGTTAATGTTTTAAGTCTACAAAAATGTGGAGGCAGTACTTAAGTAATTAAAACTGACCATCTTGCTGTCATTGATGCAAAGTAAACATAGAAACGGGCGAAAGTGGAAACCTGTTGCCTAACCAAAATTAAATAAAAATATTGTCCATGCTAATAATACATAAGAAAAAGTAATCGAAAGGTTCGTAGGCCGTGTTGATTTACCAAATTAAGTGCACACTTTTTTGCAGTACGCTTAATTAGAAAATTAGAGACCTCGACCATTTTGTACCCACTTAATGAAACTTGATCAATCCTGTCTAGCATTGTTTACTTAAGTATTATAACTTTTTCTGCTCGTTTTTCATTGGAATGGCATGGTGTAGAAGTTCGAAGACAATTAACCGCAGAAGCTTTAATGACTTCTCTTATTCATGTCGCCCCTCTTTGATTAATCCACAATCAATTTTAACTCTTAATTAATGCAAGACTTCACCTAGGGAACGGCTTCTATTGGAAAAAATCTCCAAGTAGTCGATTTAAATATAGATTTCCCACATATATTTATAGCCGAAACCTGAAAACCCAATTGTTTCACATTGACCGAAGTTGTGGAAATCAAGTGGTAGTAGTAGAACTTGTTAAACAGAAATCATTCTTAATTCCCAGCACAAATAAACACCGTAGTTAAATTAAAATCTAAGAAGTGCTCTAAAAATATCGGTTATTTTCAGGGGCGTCTTTATACGAGATATAACAGCTGCATCTTGTTTTTATTGGCAATAAATAAATTTGAAGTTAACGATGTGTTTAAATATATTATAAACAACATAGAATTTAGCATCACACTGTATACACATTTCCGCACATTAAAACTAAATGACTGGTATATGTTTGAGGAAATTTGCAGTATGTTCTTTCAGGTCCCTATCCGAGCAGTCCAACGATGTCCGGTTTCAGTACGATCAATTCGAGACGTTCAAGAAACAGAAACGTGTACAATCGAAAAAGTTGCATACCCAAGGCGTTTGAGTATGAGTCTGGTAAAATAGTTTTTTAATCGAAGATCTTCCACGGTTAATTTCGTTTAACCGTTTTAGGTGTGGCCGTTACGAATTTCAGCGGATGGTCAAGTAATATGGGCGTTTGTCACGTGGAGAATTTGTACGTTACGTTAATAGCGGATAGAGGAAAGGGATATGGATTAACGTTGGCAATTGGTGAACATTCCGATAATAGGCCGGCCGATATTTTAATATCACGCATATCACAGGACTCGCCGGCGTACAGGTGAGAATTTAGACTAGGGCTTCAAGGCATTTGTAACAGAGGGTTGGGTGTAGATTGAAGAAAAATTCTACAGAATTGCCATTCCGTGCAAGCCACGTCCCTGTTATAGTCTCCACACCTGCACTTTTTTTTTTAAAGCGGGATAGGTAGGTTTCGATTACATTAATTAACAAGCTTTGCAGTATACTTCTTCCTTCCTTTTTTTCTAAGATAATGCTCATCCTTTCCTCTCTTCTTCTCCACCCCCTCTTCCAGTGCTTCCCTGCTACTTTCCACCTCTTTACATTCGCCTGGCATGTGCTCTATATGTTCCTCTTTCTATCCACAAGTTCCGCATTTCCTTTCTTTTGCTTTTCTCCAGTTCTCCACTACCTACTGTTTCTCGTGAGTTCTCGACTTTCACTCTCTATTGCTGTATTTATACATCTATGTCGCTTTTTGTTCATAATCCACATAAATACCCTGTACGACATTTGAAATTGTTGACCAATCATACGCCTTTCGGATTACTGTATCGTCGGATTTCGTATGCATGTGAATCCAGCTTAAATCTCCCCAAATATTAAGTCCCTCCTCCTCCCTATTTCATCTACCATATTTTCTATTGTATTTTTTAAGTTCCTTCTCTGTTATGTACAGTTGTCACTCTCGTTTTCTTCCCCTCCATCGCCACTCGTCTTTTATTCTCCGATCTCTGTTTATAACCCTGTTAATACACCTTCTTTTGCTCTTCCCTCTTCGTAAATTGATTCTTCCATATCTATTCACTCAGTTTCTTCTCTCCATGATTCAACCATCTCCACGACGTCATATCCCCTTACAAACTCCTATCACCGCCACATTCCACAATATTATTTTCATGCTACTCCTCACCATTTTTATTTCGGTTTTCTCCTTTCTTCTGTTGTTCGTTTTTGTCCCCTTCCCTTCCTAAGTACTGAAGTACCTACGTTCCAATTCGTCATTCAAATGTGGGGTGCTCCATTAAAACCTCGGTTATACACCGCATTTTATTGAGGCCAAAAAAAAATTGTCTCAGATCGACCCGGAAAAAAAAATTTCTTATAGAATGTGGCCTGTAGAATCCATAATTTCAAACAGTTCCAAGATTGGGCTACTAGTTCAAAAGTTACAGCCCTTTGAATTTTCTTTCGAAATTGGTTTCTAGTCTATAACTTTTGATTGAGAAGTCTGATCAAAAAAGTACGAATTGTTTTGGATTCTACGCACCAAAATTAATAAGAAAAAGTGTTTTCCCGAGAAATTTTGGTGCAGTCGATTTTTTGTAAAAAAGGAAGGTTATACACTGCCTTTTTTTGAGGCCCGAAAAAAAATTGTCTCAGATCGACCCGGAAAAAAATTTTTCTTATAGAATGTGGCCTGTAGATTCCATAATTTCAAACAATTCTAAGATTGGGCTACTAGTTCAAAAATTACAGCCCTTTGAATTTTCTTTCGAAATTGGTTTCTAGTCTATAACTTTTGATTGAGAAGTCTAATCGAAAAAGTACGAATTGTTTTGAATTCTACGCACCAAAATTAATAAGAAAAAGTGTTTTCCCGAGAAATTTTGGTGTAGTCGATTTTTGGTAAAAAAGGAAGGTTATACACTGCCTTTTTTTGAGCCCCGAACAAAAAATTGTCTCAGATCGACCCGGAAAAAAAATTTTCTTATAGAATGTGGCCTGTAGAATCCATAATTTCAAACAATTCCAAGATTGGGCTACTAGTTCAAAAGTTACAGCCCTTTGAATTTTCTTTCGAAATTGGTTTCTAGTCTATAACTTTTGATTGAGAAGTCTGATCGAAAAAGTGTTTTGGATTCTACGCACCAAAATTATTAAGAAAAAGTGTTTTCCCGAGAAATTTTGGTGCAGACCCAAAGAAGTAACAAATGTTGCTTCTTTAAACCTGCATAAAAATACACACTGTATTTTTTTTACCTTTTATTTAAAAGATGGGGGTGGGGTAGAGGTACATTAGCGCTTCCTCATGAGTATGATGATCATTAGGCTAATCAGAACTTTCACTTGGAAGTAACGATACCACAAGCATAACGTAAAGTTCGCATCTCCAAAGATTGATAATGCAAATTTAAATGTATTTTAATCCTACCTCTTGTACGAAGTTTATGCAAGGGGATTAAAACTCTGATTCGAGAGGAAGCCAACGTTACCTGCCACCTTTATATAATAATAATAATAATCTTTATTCCAACCTAGAAACAAAACTGCAAACACAACAAAAAGTAAAAATTATATTAAACATTTTTTAATATTTACCTATGTCTTTCTTAGACATTCACCTTGATTTAAATGCAAAATGAAACTTTTCTTTCCAGATGCGGATGTATGCAAACGGGCGATCGAATTTTATCGGTCAACCATCAACCAAATTTGACGCTACAAGAAATTACGTCTCTACTAGAAATAGCGTCGACGTCAAATTCGAGTTCTCGAATTGTATTACAACTCGAATTTGACGTCGCCGACACAATAGTCCCTTCTAGTGGTATATTCACTGTGAAGCTCGCGAAAAGGGGTCCAGGATTGGGAATAACGATCACCGGTAATTACAATTAGGTAGTCTCTAACAAATGAAGAACGTTAACTTTCAGCAACAAAAAATCATCCGGAAGAGCCATTTATAATTTCCGAAATTCGAAGGGGGTCAATTGCGCACAGGACTGGTACTTTGCACGCCGGCGATCGTTTGTTAGAAATAGACAATCGACCGTTAGACCATTTGAGCTTCGAGTCCGCGTTTGATATATTCCAGAGCTCGACGAACGAAATAGTAACGCTCAAAATAGAAAAGACCGAAACCGATAACGCCAACTTATTTCTCGACTGCGTCGTTTATACGGTAGAACTGATTAAATACGGGGGACCTTTAGGTATAACAATTTCGGGGAGCGAAGACTGCATGGAGCCGATCGTTCTTTCAAGGCTTACGGAAGGTACGTGATTTTGAAATGGACCTAGAGCTGAAAGCGCAGTGATTTCAGGTGGATTGGCCGAAAAGACGGGCGCTCTACATGTTGGCGATCGGATTTTGGCGATAAATGGAGAAAATTTGGAAAACCGTCCTCTTTCTGACGCGATCCGGCTTTTGCAAACTTCAGGTGATCGTGTGCAGTTGAAAATTGCTCGGAATCTCAACTCTAAACAAGGTTTGTCTCCAATATCCACTGTAATAGCTATCATGTAATTTGTTTCCAGATGCAACCAGGTGCAGTTATTCCAGTCCAGGTTTGGTTAGTGTTGATAGTGCAGTTGCGTCCTGGGATAGCAATTTAGGAGAAAATAATAACGACATTCTTAACGGTAAGTATCTCTCCTTTGTAGCCCAGGCAATACAGAACATACGATGACCTTTGCTTGCAAAATTAGCCCAGGCAATACAGAACATACGATGACCTTTGCTTGCAAAATTAATGGTAGTTCTGGAAATAGGCTTACATTATGTTTTTTGGGTTGCTGAGTCCAAATTTTTAACTTCCCACCAAAAATTCCCTCCGCAACCCCCCCAAATCTCGAAAAATAAGAAAAAAATATGTTTTTTTAAGAAACCGTTTTTTGTGGTTTCACGAATAAAATACCTACAATTTTGAAATGTAGATATACAGTATGCAACCAAAAACGTCCTAAAAGCTTTTACATACTACACTACGCACGTAGGGGGCGCTGGCGTGCGTTGAAGTATGCTCATTGGCGACTGGCGTCTGGCGCACTTCGCTTAACAACCCACGACTTTCGTGTTAGCTCTCCCTTCACCCGCTTTATCTTTCGTTTTAACCACCCCCCTCCTTTAATCTCTCTTATTTTTCAACATCTGGAAGTCAACCCTCAACCTCCAACTTTTCCCCACCTATTTTCAGATAAGTTCAGAATTATTAACAACGCATCTATATATTTAAAAAATATAGACTTTTATTACTAAATTAAATTACCTACTATTTTCCGTTTAACTGGAGGGCCCACAGCTGAAAATTAGGTTCATGCACCAAAAAGATTTAATTGGTTTCAAAGTCCCGTTTTTAAAGTAGATTGATTGATCCATTGAAGAAGACAAAAAAGGAAGTTTAGAAACGACTCATCTGACAATTCTTCCGTGTTTTCGGAAAAGCTGGACCATCAGATTTGTGTGATTTCCCCAAAATAATTTCATCAGCTTGATGGGCCACCTTTTCAAATAGCAGTTCGAATTCCTCTGCTTGTCCATCCTCTTCATCAAAATCTTTGACGATATCTTTAGGGCTATTTTCGCATGAATTGTTGCACTCGAGGCACATTATTGAACATTTCAACCAACTTTTCCTTCATATACACGCGCCACGGCATCCTTTTTTTTACACCCAGGAGATTAGCTTTAGAATGTTTGGTGGAGCGGAAGGTATAAAGGTAGTGACAGGAGATAGCTAGTACTTTTCCAGCTCCATTTTTGTGGTTCCATGACATTTCCTAGCCAAAGTTGGACTTGGTGGTACGTCCTGAATGAGTGTTTCTTCATGTTGGAGGCAAAGAGGATATATTGTGTTTACTGATGTACACAGTCCTAATGAAACACTGATCTCTAAAACCGTTTAAAATCATGTTGTCATCCTAGCAATCATACAAACGAAGTAAAAATTAATTCCAAGCTTTTGCGATAGCTTGTGCGTCTGCATTTGGAATCAGAAACAGCTGAGCTAAGAAAAACAAATCTGGGTTCTAGGCGAAGACTTTAATAAATTTGGTTTTTACGTCGCCAAAAGTCGAAGACGTAAAATCAGTCGCTGAAACCGTGTAAAAATAGTATGTTTTTAGTCACTGTGTTTTCTTTAAGACCAAAGGGTGAGTAGATCTGTGCTTCATGAAGTAAATATTGGCGGATTGAGCAAGTGCACTTAATAGAACTAAAACATATATATCTTCGCCGACAATAATCACCGATGGATGAATTGATGCCATTTCAATTTTCTGTACTAACGATGAGACAGTCTACGTCTTCGTCAGTTTGTCGCACTATCGACTTCCTTTTAATCATTTCAATGAGGCGATGTTTATTTCTGCTGTTGGATAAAAAATTTGCCTGGCCAACACGGAGTCATAGATTCATCAAAAATTATGTCAACCGATGACTGCTTTCTTTCCCTTCGCAATCTTTCTGCGCTCTTCAGGGGAGGGGATGAACCAAGAAATTGAAAATGACAGTCAGGTCGCGAAAGTGGCGAAAACCATGCAGTTATCGTCTAATGTCCTAGCGTGCGTACGGCACCAAGGCTCATGTTCTGAGACGCGCTAACGCCCTACGGCCCTACCCATTCGCCCTACGTCAAAATATCATACGATTTTTTTGTCTCAAATTTTTTCTAGTTTCCAAATTTCCAGAACTTTTTGTCTGAAATACACAAATTAACAGGTTTTTTTTAAAAACGATACTTTTTCTTTTTTTCAAAATTTGGGGGGGTTGCAGGGGGAATTTTTGGTGGGAAGTTGAAAATTCGGATTCATAGACACAGAAAACATAAAACAAGCCTATGTCCAGAACTACCATGAATTTTGCATCCTAGAATTATACATTTCCTGGACTATTGTCCCTATTTATAATTGTGGGGGTACCTACCCCAAAAAAACAGAAGACATAGCTGCAATGTTAACAGGAACGCGAGAACGAAAGATACGCTTTAGGAAAATGGCAGAAAACAAATGGCATTACAGTAACGGAATTAGAAAAACACTCGCGACCTTTTTACATTTTTAGTTGCAGAGGGGTCGATTTTCCCTTTAACATTGCTATTGGAGCAGAACGTCTTTCCAAATATGAAAAGAAGAGACTCGATAACGAATTTTTAGCGTCCATGTTTGCACCCCTTATTAGTTATTAGTTTTTTGGTTGCTCCCCATTTTCAGAATCCCATCTGTTCCGTTCCCGTGTTCTTCACTCCTGTATTTCTGGTTGAATCCTATTTGCCTGACGACGAAACTCCCCTTTGTTTCAGAATCTACAGAGCCGAAAGACACAGAGAGCATCCTAAGCGATCCCCTATCCTTCCAAGACCACGACAGTAAAGAAATCTACACGATCCGTCAGAAGCACGATTCGCAAATACAATTTTACTCCGACGCCGAAGACACATTCTGTCCGAGTCCGCTGCCGTTACCCAACTACGGATTCATGAATTGCTCGAAGTACGACTCGAACGTGTACGCTCAATCGAAGAGCACCTTCATGGACCGACTTCCCGGAACATTCAGCAACGAGAGCATACTAGGCCACGAAATTCACCACGTAACGTTGTTTAAAGACTCAATTTACGACGACTACGGCTTCAGTCTGAGCGATGGCTTATATGAGAAGGGTGTTTATATAAATAGGATACGTAAGGGTGGTCCGGCTGACATTGTCGGTTTACTGAGACCATATGACAGAATCTTGCAAGTAAGTTCTGCCCCTCTGTCATTAAGTATTAAACATTTGATTGAAGGTAAATGACACGAAAACTCAAGATTTCGATTGCTGTTTGACGGTGCCTTTGATTGCTTCTGCTGGGGATAGGATCGAATTGGTTGTATCGCGTAATCCGTTCTTAAACGGTTCATCCGAAAAGGTACGAAATTAAAACATAACTAAAGACTTATATAATTTTGTTTGTATTTCGTGATACCTTAGAAATGTCTGTAAGCTGAAGAAGATTAATCTAAATTACGTATGTATTTTGTAAATGAATCGCTTTCAGTGAGCTAACAATCGTTTCTGAAACTCATTCATTTAAATTAACATTATCGTTCATTATTCGCATTTGAGGTAACTCTAAAAAAGAATTTTTCAGGGCAGTCAAGCGTTATCATGGGCAGCCAGTGACCAAGATTCACCAAATAAAGCGTTTAATTCTAGTCTGAACACAATTACCAAAACTCTATAAATCATTCTACACAAACTACAGGATTTAAGAAAATTCCATATTATTATCGTAAATATATTTATTTTATTATTAAGATTCACATGAATATTGACTGTTCCATAGTAATTCTATTATCAATTTATAGTTATGACTTTTTACAATAAAATACTAGACAATTACTTTTTTACCGCTTGTTGTTGTATTTGTACTGGTTATATTGTTTTACCTTTATTTTAGAATGGATTTCTCTCACCTCAATTTATGGTCATGAGATTACATCAGATCCCGGCTGGTGAGTTTACAAGTTATAACAAAAGAATTATGGGTTTGTATAATATGTAGATGTGTTAACTACAGCTAACATTTTTTTAATGTAATAGGTACATTATTTTGATTTAGTTCGTCAAACTTCTTTGTTAACTACCTATTTCACTATTGCAAAATAAAGTCTTTTATAAGAGAGAAACATAATGATCTTCATGATTAAGTACATGTTTTTAATGCCAAAGTTAATATACAGTGATCGCACACCTCTATATAGAGAAACTTTGCCCATTTTGTAATTATTTTTACCCGACATCGCCATGAAACCTTCATTTTCATGCCTACTTTATGTCAGGGAAATGTTAGTTTCCATGACAGAGGCAGACCAGTCTACTTTTCCTGCCGCCTGTCCCTTTACCGGCCGCACCTGTCACTTTACCGGCCGCACCTGTCACTTTTCCTGCCGCACCTGTCACATTGCTAAATGTTTATAATGACTCTTGTCATCAATGACAGATTGGCATTAATCAAAAGTTCTATATAAAAATTGAAATTTTATGTTAAAATACGATTTCGGGTAAAATTTAATATAAAACTCGTCAGTAAAATGACATTACTTGTCTCGGAAATTAAAGAACTCGGCCCCAAAGGGCCTTGTATTTCAATATTTCCTCGCCAGTAATGTGTCATTTTCCTGACTTCTATGTAATAGTATATTAAGAATTAAGGTCAGTAGGTGTACTTTACCGATTGAGGATAATAATTGCAAACCGAGAGCGCAGCTCGAGGTTTGCAATATTATCCGAAATTGGTTAAGCACCTACTGGCCGTGGTGCTTACGCTATTTTTTGCACGATCAATTTATTATTAATATAAACTAAATTCGAATGTCAATGTGGTAGCATCATAATGGGTTCACTAATTTTTTGTGGGTTGCTACAGTTACGTTTCTGTTTTTGAAAACAAAACAACACGTACGCGAAACGTGGTTTGGTTGAGACAGTGAACATGAATGATTCAGAAGATTCCGAAATAGAAAATGCATGGAGTATTGGCTGCGCGTCGATTATTCCCGAAAAATCTAAAAATAGATATGAAGCTGCATATGATTCTTTCCTTAAATGGTGTGAAAGTAAATGTCAAACTGACATAAGTGAAAAAATTGTGTTAGCATATTTTGTTCAACGTAGTGAAGGATTGAAATCGCCATCAAGCTTATGGTGTGATTATTCCATGTTGAAAAGTATGATTTTTCTAAGAAGGGGTGTTGATATTTCAAAATACAGGACGCTGATAGCATTTTTGAAAAGAAAGAACGTTGGATATCGGCCAAAAAAATCTAGCGTTTTTTCTAAAGCAGATTTCCATAAATTTCTTAGGGAAGCACCAGATGACACGTACTTGGTGATAAAGGTAAGTAATGTACAGACTCCAGTCATTAAATTTAACATTAATATGTATACAGCTAGGCATGATCTTTGGCATGGCAGGAGCATGCAGAAGAGATGAATTGTATAATATTACAATTAATGATGTACTTGATTGCGGAACATATATTACCGTTAAATTATTAACCACAAAAAACTATACACAGAGGACGTTTTCCATTATAAATGATGAATTTGTCAATTATATGGAAATTTACCGTAAATATATAGCTCTCAGACCGAAGAATATGCCGTAGCCAAAACTATTTGTATCGTACCGCAAAGGAAAATGTGCAAGACAAGTTATTGGAAGAAATCAAATTGGTACTTGGCCTTTTAAAATCGCTAGCTACTTGAAATTACCAAACCCCAAGAAATACACTGGACATTCTTTCCGTAGATCATCCGCTACCTTGCTAGCGGATGCAGGAATAGATATCATTGGATTAAAAAGGCACGGTGGATGGAAGAGCAGTAATGTTGCTGAAAGTTATGTCAATGAGTCATTAACTAACAAGATTGAAACCGCTCAGAAGATTTTATGTGGACCTCCAGGGAACCCTTCATTATCTTCGTTGCCATCAACAGAACCTGCTATTTCATACCGTACTAATTCAAATCCTCTGTCGACTGCTGACTGTCAAGAATCTGTAAACACCGTGTTTTCCAATTGCCTGTCTAATTCCCGAACTAATTTTTGTAACTTGACAAATTGTACATTTAACTTCTACATTAATAAAGAATAATTTGAATTTTGACACATATCCTACTTGTCGCATGTTACTATAACTGTCACTTGGTTGCTAAGCACGTTGCTATGATACACTTACCGCCCTAGGTTGGTAAGTGCACCTTACAGCCTTGAAAATGAATTAGTAAGTAGCCGACAATAACCGATCGTGTAAAAATTGAAATTTTACATTAAAAATACAATTTCGGGTAAAATTTAATACAAAACTCGTCAGTAGATGACATTCCATGACTCGGAAGTTAAAGTGATCGGCCCCAAAGAGGCTTCGTACTTCGATAATCCAGTAATGTGTCATTTTCCCGACTTATATAAATGACTATTTCACTTTCAGATACACCTTTATATCCTTTTCAGTTAGTTTCTGCAAGCCTTCGATTAGGGTTATTTTCTTCGCACCTCAGTTAAATCTTCTGAGGTTTTTCTTTAGGTATTCACAATTAAAACCTATTAGGTTTAATTCGAAGAAAGAATGCTACCAGTATTGGGTCTAGTTTGGTGAAGGATGGTTGTATACTTGGAAAATTTGCTAACTAGGAGAGACTGTTGCACCTAGACCATAGTGTACCTAGAAACGATTTAGTTTTTATAGTAGTTTTGCCATCCAGCCACTAACCGGGAAGGTTGGTTGTTTCCTTGAACCTAACCATTTCTACAAAAAATCAAAAATGATGGGATTGATTCTTCAAATTATGCTGTGAGACAGGTGTAAAAGTAAAAGTATTCCTTGCAGATTATATTAAAAAGGTTGCTCAGATGCAATACGGATTGAGGAAGCAAGGCGTGAAGGATTTAGCTTATAAATATGCTGGTATGCTAATAAAAAGATTTTCCTATACCCAGACCAAATTTCTGACGATGAATGGATGCGTGGATTCCTGAGAAGGCGAGATACTATTCGAAAACCTGAAGCGACTGATTGAGTCGGACAACAACTTTCAACCGAACGAATGTTTTTAACAACATTAAAGGCCGATTCACATTATCGGTCACGTCACGGTCAGATCACGGTCCGGTCAATTATTGTAGCGTGTATTTCTTATGAACATGTTCTGACAGTGATATGACCGTCAAATGTGAATATTCCTATTGAAATAGCATGTCACAATATTTCGTTGCGATTTCTGTTGCAATAAATAATACGATACAAATTAAAACTACCTTTTAAAAAAAAGTAAGTACCATTTTATTTTCATTAGATATAAAAATGTTACTTATGTTAATTTCTGCTTCGTAATAAACAGTACCTATATAGTGTGAATCACAATGTAAAGCCCTTATTCTCCTTTTGTTTCAAAGTACAAAAGGTAAGTTCTAAAATACACGAGCATCTCATACCTTGAAACAAGTTGTATCTTATTTTTTTATAATCAGTAGCTTTGATTATAAAATACACTATATTCAAAGATCAGTAGTGAACATTATTTTTCATTGGTTTCAAAAGTTAAAGGGACAACTAATACTTGTTACATAACCATACCTATACAAATAAAAATTTAAAAAATCTACTTTTAGTCAGTGTTTAATACAAAAAATTAAATAATAGTCGCCCCTACTAAAAGTTTGCAATCCTAGAGTTTTCAGGATCTTCCCAAGAAAGTTTGGAAATCAATTGCTTTGTCGTCTACCTACAGAAATCTGTTGATACCTTGGACAAATTATTTTGCTGCTTTTTAAAAGCTGAAATTGCAGTACATCTTAGGAAAACGGCTCTTTGTAAACGAAATAAAAAAAGAAAAAATGCAACCACATTGCTAGCTACACTAGCTACCTACACAATTTAAAAAAAATTTAAAACGATACAAAAAAATCTAACCAATCGTCAAAAAAAATTGTACTATTCCGTTGTCCTCGTAGCGTTTTGTTAAGGATATTCAAATCCGTTATAGTTTTGTATTGTTGTCCGTCCATACGTGTACCTGCTTTTTTAAAAGTGATACTGTATCGTATTGAAATATGGACGCTATTGATTTTTGGATAGTGAAGTAAACAGGACCAAAAGTCATGAGACTTTAAGTAAATTAGGAATAATAAAATAAGTACTAAAATAAGAGAAATCGATACGATTTATACATGCCTTTATTTTTGAGTGCGCGGGTTTAGGGCAAACGCGGCCAACTATACCGCTTAAAAAAACTTCTGTGCGCATACCCGGATTTGTTGTAACCGGTAATGTTTATTTTTATATTTACCGTAACTGACAAGCACTTCCACCAGAAATTATTAATTAAAGAGGATGTGAATTTGATTTTTGTAGACATTCTGTGAAAACGAATTGGATAATTGCAACGAAGCATGGAATAATTGTTTAGTAGCCAAAGCTGTGAAAAAATCAGAGCAACTAGATCAATGTCTACTGCACTTTCAACAGTAGTTAATTTTAGCAATAAATATATTGTACACCGTATTGGTAGTTATGAAGGTTCTAAATTATATCACGCATGATGTAACGGTTTAGTTACATTTACAGGGGCTGCAAACCCCACTTGCAGAAAGTGAATTTTAACCTTTACGGCCCTGGTAATAATTTTACTGTAACCATTTTTTTTTAATAAAATAATTAATATCACGGATAGCTCAGTAATGGATAAACTTTCAATGACCATACGGAAAGTGACCCCGCGGTTTGATCACTCTCAAATTAATTGAGGATAATTTTGTTATACAACCAAACCCAAAAAGATAAAAAAATCACTTACCTTTACCGATGCGTCAAAATTTTCTCCAATTTTCTCCTTCTGAAAGGTAGCAGCAATTCGGAAAATTGAATGGTGGAACGCTTTGTGCAATACAAGTGAACCTTTTGTATCTCGTGCTTTTGAAAGATGATTGCTCGTTGAAAGTGAATATTGAGAGATGGTCGACTACTGAAACAAAGAATGAATAACTAATAGGGAGTGCGGGAGTGAGAGACGGCCACGCGTAGGAGGAAGTGAACGGGGTCTATATCTTCATCAGCGTCTACCTCCCCCCTGAGACCGAACAGATTCATAACACGACTTAATGAAATCGGAGTTAATATATCATTAACATAGCAGGGCGAGATTACAACGTGTCTCTCCTAATTCAATGCTTAGTATTGTTGTTAATAAGTAAATAGCTATTTTTACAGTAGAAATTCGATTATCTGAACTGGTTGCACGGGTTTCCGGATTTTAGAAATGTCCTAAAATTCTCTTTTGAATGGTACCTATATTAAGGAAAAGGGATTTACGTTGGGATTTAAAGGATTCCTATACTTTTCAAAACAAGAATTTCACAATGTTTCTTTTGTGTTAAAAGGGGCAAACGGTGAGCATAGAAGCACAATTAAGCAAAATCGAAGTACTACGCAATAACCGTCATTTACGTAGAAAAAAGTTAACCTTTTGTTAGCAACACCCTGTATATTTATTGCTATCGAGCGCAGAATAAAAACTACATCAATGAACTTGTATTTTACGCCATTTGGCACAAACTTCTTACAATAAAGCAATTTCAAAAACTATAGCTAGTTAAGTGCTCCTTCGTCCCTTTTTTCTAAAATCATCATCTATTTTTCGCCTCTTCCAGTATTTCACTTGTTCTTTCTACTTCTTTACATTCCCATAGCATGTGCTATGGGTCTTCCTCTTTCTCTCCACAAATTCTACACGTCCCTTCTTCTTAGCTTCATTTATGCTTCCCTCTCTCCTCGTTTCCGCATCTAAATCTTAATATTTTTTTCTTCTTTCCCTTTCGTATTTCGGTAACCACACCCTTTATCAGCTCCTTTTGTCCCTACTGTTTCCTGGTGAAGTCTCTATATTTTCACCCTATTAAAATGTATGAACAAAAAACTACATAAAAAAAATGTTATTTATATTCGAAAAGTGATGAACATTGACATGTAAGTTGTCGAAAAAAGAAGACATTACAATTATTAAATTCAATAGAATAATAGTTATAAGGGGCGATCAAAAATAAGTTACTGCAAGTCGCCTTTGGAAGTAAACAAAAATTCCAAAGGTGACTCGACAGTATAGTGTAAACACACCATATATATTACCTATTAAAAAATTGCTTTATAAATAAGGGACATAATCGACTGTTGCGGAACTGTTTACTTTTCACTTGCCATTTCAAAAAAAATTCTGATCCCTACTTAAATAATGACACAACGTGGATCATTATAATCTTTAATCACACAAAGAATTAGATAAGATCATAATCACAGACTTTACCTTTAGCACTGTTTAAAGAATGGATAAGCAATGCCTTTAGATAAATAGTGTACATGAGGTAAACTCTCAATGGGAACTTAATTCTGAATTATATCATTATAATAATTAGACCAAATTGTCTAGAAAGGTTTTTTGCCAACCATTGCCCAATTAGAGATTATGTAACACTAAAATGTGTAATGAAAACAATTCCCAATATAAGTGGGTGGGGAAATACACATAGGTACAGTCTTTGACAATAGTAATGATCACCGAGTAGGTAATTAAGAAGAAACCGAGAAGCCCGATGTGATAGGCATGTTGGTTGCTTATGCCTCGGGGTTTACCTATTACGCGATCATTACTTATGTCAATGACCGTACCTGCCTTGCGCCCAAAACAAAATTCCCCGTTTCTTGTGATAAAATCACTTTCTCGCAAATATCAATATTACAAACTTATTAGGCAATAATTAGGCTAAGGCTAATTAATGAGGACGAATAGTAACGTCAAGGTTGCCCATAGGTGCATTCCTTGGCTTCAGTACTGTTTACTGACATGTACCTAGTTACCAAAAATATGTTTGAGCTAGTTATCAAAAGATACATCCACTGTGTTTTTTCAAGGCAAAGAGTAGTATTATCTTTGTTCAAGGTAAAATTGAGCAACATGTGGATTTTGCTGGTATTTAATTCTAGTTACAAATTGTGTTCATAGAGGGAATCGAGGTAGTGCATGACGTCTACCTTGCCAGCCTGGACAGCATGGCTGACCGTAAACATACAAGGGAAGTGCTAACGGTCGTATTTTTGTGTGTTTTGTGGTATATAATAAGTTCAAGCAACAATGTCATCGGAAAGATGCTACTTAATGAATTTCCATATCCCATGACGATGACCATGGTGCAGTTACTCTCGATAACGATATATAGTGGACCGTTTTTCAATATGTGGGGAGTGCGAAAATACGTGGACATTTCCTGGAGGTATTACTTCAAGTTGATAGTCCCTTTGGCTTTCGGCAAGTTCTTTTCGTCGGTATTCTCGCACGTGAGCATATGGAAGGTTCCCGTCTCGTATGCACATACAGGTATACATTTGTTCAAATGTGCAATGATTGATTAACAGTCTTCTTGCAGTCAAAGCGACAATGCCTCTGTTTACTGTGATATTGTCTAGATTAATTATGGGAGAAAAACAGACGTACAAAGTGTACTTTAGTTTAATCCCAATTATTGCCGGTGTTGGGGTGGCAACAATTACAGAGATTAGTTTCGATGCCATCGGGCTGTTCAGTGCACTTGCCGCAACAATGGGATTTTCCTTGCAGCATATATACTCGAAGAAGGTACTGCACGACACGGGTGTTCACCATCTGCGATTGTTACACATTCTAGGAAGATTATCACTATTTATGTTTTTACCTGTATGGATATTAGTCGACTTCGTTCACTTAAAAGACAATCCTGATATCGTACGTAGCATTGCTTTATGAGTGCTGTCACATCTAACTTTGTCTTTCAGGATATAAAAAATTACAGGGTTACGTTACTGTTGTTCCTTGACGGAGTCCTAAACTGGCTTCAAAATATTGTAGCTTTTAGTGTACTGTCAATCGTTACTCCTTTAACTTATGCTGTAGCAAATGCCAGTAAACGAATATTCGTTATAGCAATCTCGTTATTCATATTGGGTAACCCTGTAACAGGCGTTAACATTTTTGGTATGTTACTAGCAATTTTTGGTGTCTTTTATTATAACAAGGTAAGCTGTAATGGTGAAGCTGTCGGATTATCTTACCAAGTACTGTTTCAGGCGAAATATGATCAAAAGATGGCGGCAAAGCAACAAACTCTGCTTCCATTTCAGCAGAAGAGTTGGCATGATAGAAACAACGATTATATTTTATATCCTCAACAGAATGGTAAAGCTAACGGAACAGACAAAATGAATGGTATTACTGTGAATGGCAATGTTAAGAACGGCTTAAATTCATTCAGGTCTTATAAAAATTCAAATAGTAGCAATTTATTGTTTGTATAAATTTTATTCTTTTAACAGAAATTTATTTATTTTGTATTTATGTATATTTCCATGAATGTTATTTGTACATATTTAATTTTGTAAGTAGATTTAATTATGTCAAGTCAGTTGAACATCAACTTCTTAAAAAGGAATACAAAGTATTATACGTATGTTGTATACGTAAGTAAATAATATTTATTTTTGTACCTGTTTTGTGTTGTTTTGTACATTTGACTCGTGTGTTGCTTCTATCTCGCATAGTTGAGTAAAGGCAGTGTCACTCTAAGTAGAGACTATTTGCTAGAAGGCCCCTTTATTTGGGCACTATAGTACAGTATTCAGAGTTTTGTTTCATAGTAGTGCCAATTGGTAATGATGCTGGCAATGATTAATCCGTGGAGTGACCAGGGAAGATCCTGGAGCACAACAAATCCCCCAGTAGAAAATACAAACAACATTTTTAAGATCCCCATCTGGAAAAATATGTTTACATTTCCCACTGCGCGTGAGCGGGGGCGGTATTTCGCGCCTCCGCTCCTTGTAAACACGAGTAGAGGCCAGTTATGAACCAGTCCAGTCAAAAAATGTCGCGCCAGTCCACTGGCTTCAGGAGTAGCCAGTGGAGTCTACACCTCCCAAAGGAGGACTGGTGGCGGTCTACTGCGTCGTGTAAAATGAACCTGTCCACTTGCGACGGGACTTGGGGTATAGGTAATATACCTAAGGAAGGAGAAAGAGTGTTTATGCAAACAATTCATTTGAGCAACTGACTGGGATGATGCACCGCCTGAATCTCTTCTGAACATTGTGATGTAACCGAAAAATTCGATTTAAATATTCCCCAATCCGAGCCTGGCGCGACGAAAAAGGTCAAGATTGCGCTTTGTTTCGTTTTCTTGGAACACGTGTTTTTTTCTTCTCTGCTCTACATTGAAATGGACCATAATTTACAATAAAAGTGTCAAATATTACGCTATGCGAGCTATACGAGGAAACTTAATGATCCATATCGACCGACGGCTCGAGGGACGTTCGATATTAACATTTGTTTTCGTCTAGGATTTGTTTAAACAAAAAAGGGGGAGAATGCGGCAGAAGTATGTGTGCTTTTGTTAAGATCAGAAGTAAATCTTTACGTTGCGAATAGTGAGTGCACCTTCAACAATTACAAAGGTGATGTACTCGTTTTATTTATCTCTACGTCTATTGCATCCATCTAATAATGATATGTATCTGTTCGATTATTTGCCAATTTAACTTTATTCTCTTACAGCATTGATTATTGCCATTTATAACACATTCCAGATACAAATTGCAGTTTTAATTATACTGGTCCTACTGGGAATTTCTGACCGATTTACGTGTTTTTATTTATATTTAGATACTGTATGTTCCCTTAGGGGCGATACCCAATACAACTATGCAGAACTACATTTTAATTTATAATTAAATTTATTGCAGCACATTTCGCTTTTGTTTACCTGATTATGTTACTGTGTATTTACAGGGTGCCTCATCTGGAGGCGAGTGACGTACGTTAGGTGGTTGATTGTTACATATTGCACTTGGCATTGTGAATTAATTACTTTTGATACCAATGTTTGCCACGACATGTCCCTTTGTATTGTTGTAATGTGATAGTACATAAAGTTATGCTCCTACTATTTATTTGAACCGGGTGATTATGATTATTAATATTTGGCAGGGTGACTTGTTTCGCTTGCTATATTTGATACCGATATTATATCTCGATTTGACCTAACAGAGGCTGCCTAAGTTCAGAATTGACATACACAGAGATATATATTTTATGTACTGTTTTTTTTGTGTCTTCGAGGGGAGCCATCTTGCCAATATTGCTAATCAATTCGTTTAGTCGATCCCTGTTATGCGTAGTGACCGAATATTGGTTTTGTGTCAGTCTTTGTTATGCCAGTGGAAATATGTCAGCTGTCAACGCCTACATAAATTGTGTATATTTTGTTTATAATTTGGTATGCGTGCGAGTTTGCCGTTGGTTACTCTGTTATTTATGTTATGTCATGATTTGTCTTTTGATCGGTTATTGTCAGTACTCATGGTAGAGAGCCTGGAGTTCGGTAATTTATAACCCGGCATTTTAAGACTAGTGGGTTGGACTGGCCCTAGAGATGTATAAATGAAAGAGTTGGGGTCCCGCTAGTCGTACATGGGGCTGCCGGCTAAGCCCGGCCTCACTTGCGCAGGGATTCGCTAAAAGCGTGTGGCGTGTTCTCGTTGTGACCTTATGGTTGTGTTAAACAACTATATCCTTCCTGTGTGAAAGGCTCCTCTGAGAGGCCAACTCCTAGCGATTTCATCCAATGTTGACATGTCTTGACCAGAGCAACTAATGACTACTCGGTGTGGGATTTGGACCGGCTATCCAATATCCAAACCTATTATATGAATTTATTGTAATGTTTTAATGATTGTTTTGTTATGTGTGTGTAATATTTACTCCTTAGGAATTCCAGTGGAGCCTGGCGTTCGACATTGCATTGATTGCATTGATAACATGCATTTATGGCATTACAGACAACTAATTTTACTATAAACATCAATATTAATTTGTTGGCTGGGTTTTTTCTTGGTCAGTTCTTTTTTTCCCAGCCTATTTTTATATTTGTACTCGGTGAACTACCATTTTCTAAATTTAATCTTGCAATGCAAATTATTTGGATTAAATTTCAGTTTTAAAGCATGTACTTGTTTTATTTGTATTCCTTACTTGAACCTCACTCCGACAGGCAACACATATCTTGGTCCTATTATTTGGTTATTCAGGTTAGGTAGCTTTGTCTAGACGATCACATGCTATGGGGTTCAGTGAGTTTGGGAGGGAAAGTTTTGAATTTTAAATCTTGAGTTGCGCAGTCTCTTGGGGCTGGCCTGGATATATCACAACTCTTTGATAAACAACGTCAACATCTTTTCTGGTACATTGTTACTTCTTTTTCAACTTTTCTTGGGGCACATCACAAGATTCAGTATAAAATCGTGACCAAAGCGGTACCGCCATCTACGTGAAAGCGTGCCTCGATCACTTTGCCGGAAGCCACCATTGTTGAGGTGCAAACGTCGAAAGCGGGGCGATTGGGGCTCGTATCAGCGCTCCTATACACGAAAATGTAGGCACCATCGTCGTAGAGGTTCTCAACGCGAGGAATCCCTCGTGAAATTCTAGGGCTTCAAACCGCAACGGTGTGGTCTTTCTTCAATAGTGAGCAGGACCGGACGAGTCCACACATTACAGTCCGGAAAGAAGGGGCGGCGTCCTAATCGTCGCCGTCCTAAATAGAGATGTCGCTGCAGTATTGTCTCACGACGAAAGACCAGGAGATCCCCGCGTCAAGACGACGAAGAAGTGATGCGGTCCCCGACCGTAGAAGAAGTTTCCAAAGCCATCGAGAACAGTGCGCTGTTATTCTGAACGCCATGCTAAGACTGCGGCACTTTCCATCTCGGGGAAACGTGTAGACGTATTTATGTGGCAGAACCCGGGCCAATCCACGACGTTCCCACAGAGCTACCACCCGATCAGCCTCGTATCGACGATCGCCAAAGTAGCCGAAGCGGTGATCATAAGGAGGCTGCAGGACCAGACGGAGGAGAGACGCGTCACTAGCAACTCGGATTCCGGAAGGATCACTCGATGGTCCACCAACTGTTAAGGGCGGTAAAATACTTCAAACTATACCTCACAGACAGTCGATGAAGGTCGCGTGAGCGCAAAGCAACAGCAGGAGTACTCCAGGAGTCCTTCCTTTCGCCGTTGCTGTGCTCTCTGTACGTGCGGGACATGTCAAAGATACAGGACACCACCCTGGCCCTTTATACGGACTAAGGCGCAATTCAATCAAGATAACGTGGCTCCAAGACTCCAAGACAGCACTAGACGACCTAGAAGAATAGTACACCAGATTGAGGATTGCTGTCAACTCCGAAGAGCTCGGCCGTCCTTTTTACGAAAAGAAGACACTAACCCGTGGGAAACCTCACCATCTTTGCCATTGTAGGACCGAAGCGAAATACTTTGGCGTCGAGGTGGAGTGACCTCTGACATGAAGTGCCCACGTCAGATATCGTACCCAAACGGCCCGCAAGGCAATATTGGTGCTAAACCCCCTTCTTAACAGTCCAAAACTAAGGCATTGAGGATGTCTGTAAACGCCCCGTCGTTAGTGGGGAACGCAGACATCGAGATCTGGACGGCGATGAAGACCTTCGAGAGCCTGGGAGCAGTGGCGTAACTAGGTAGGTGCCGCGGCACCGCGCTCTGAAGGCGGGACCTACCCGAGGGCACTAAGTCGGGATGGGCAGTACGTGGTGTACCGTACCTATAGGTCCGTCATAAAAGACAAGAACGGCAGTTAAATTCTAATAGTTTGCTAAAGTCGACTACAGGGTGCGCTGAAATATAATGAAAACTAAATTTACGCTCCTTTAAGATGAACGGAACATTGTTAAAAAATTAAAAAAATTATCAAAGTCACCGTGTGAGATCCAAGGCATTTTTGTGTGGCAGATCAGTACTTTTATTAGCCAGTTTTGACTCCACAATCAATAAGATCTTGTCGGGGGCTACCATATTCCCTTTGTCGGTACCCACTTCTGACGCCCCCACAGTCGGCGGATGTATACAAAGTTTGAATCAAAACACTTGTACCACGCTATGTTAAGTGCCTCAATACGAATGGCGACTATTTTGAAAAACAGCCTAAGAGTTGTTTCTCACACTTTCTTAATTTTTTATTTCAAAACGTCTGTTACTTTCTGAATGGCCCTTGTAGAACAAAGTTACAGCGGTAGGAAAAGGCTGTAAATTTAAACTAATAATAATACTTTATTTGTGATCTATACAATAGTCTGTATTAGTGTGACCAGCATTTGCACCCTTATTTTAAGACGCAATCATTTCTACGACTTGTACCCTATGTCATAGCTAAATTTGACGCGAGAATTGAAAACATGATAAATAAATGTATTTCTATTCTTCGTTGAGTGAAAGACTTCGTTATTCAAAGCATTATTCTAAAAGTTAAGTAGTGCAGTGCTTTTAAAATTTCGTGTAAAGTTTCTCTCAAAAATGTACAGTGTTTTATTACTTAGAGCTCAATGGTAACTCATAAGGCGCCAAAACCTGATCCGGCACCGCTTTGAAAAATACCTAGGTACGCCACTGCCTGGGAGACCACCAGAACGAACTGGTAAGGAAATCGGACACCTACGAAGGGAACCAACCCTGAAACACAAACGTCCGAAGATTGTGCTTCTTGGTGCGGAATAAGGATAAGCAATTAAAAAAAAAATGAAACTATTCCAAATTTAGAGAGATTCAAAATTGCTAAATTGGTTGGTCTCTTTATGCTATACTTTATTACCTACATCAGCCAATCACAATTCTCCAAATGCCCAGAACTGTAGAAGTACTCTCACTTCTTCCAAAAAAGTAGTTTTTTTCCAATAAAAGGAAATAGCAACCGTCGCAAGCATAAAGCAATACAGCGAGGGATATACTCGGTTAATTGATATTCACGGTGAAATCCCACAACTTTTATGTAAACAAAACTTACGAAGCCCTAGTAATGTAACATAAGCCCTTATCAAGTGCTTATCAAATCGAAATTTTGGCCTTGCCCTTTTAATTTAGAGATTAAGGAATTAATTCTGGTTATCGTACCCAGAGGTAGCTGCTAACAGTTTCGTTTTTCTTTATTACTTGTTAGTCACCTACTTAAAATAGTCGACTTGAAAGCGTGTGTATGAGTACAACACACTTGGACAACCGCAATTAATTAAGATAATGATTGAAAGTACATAAAAAACGGTTGGTGTTGTATGAAGTGAAGTGTACCAGCGCAAAAATAATTTTGACCCGCTTTAATAATTGCGTGAGGATTTTGAGTTATATGCAAACAATTACCGTTGTTTCCCGTGTACCTTTTAACGATGGGATTTTTCCACGCGATGTGTAATTCAGATGCTCGATTAGACACTAAAACGGTCATTGTGACCGGATCAAACGCGGGAATTGGGAAATGTACCGTAGAGGATTTCTACAAACGAGGTATGCAATTAATAATAATGCAATCGTGATTCGAGTAGCTAATTAACAAATTCAGGTGCGCGTGTCATCATGGCCTGTCGCAATCGGTCCAAGGCAGAGAAATCAAGAGACGACATTATTCAAAACTGTCACGATGCTGGGAAAAATTTAGGCGAGATCGCTATTGTCGAACTTGACCTTACAAGTTTTAGATCTATTAAAGAATGCGCGAAAAAACTTGCGGCTGAAGAGCAACGCATAAACATATTAGTTAATAATGCAGGTATAATGTTTAATCCGGAAGGAAGGACCGAGGACGGTTATGAACTGCAGTTTGGGACAAATTATTTGGGCCACTACCTGTTCACTTTACTGTTGCTGCCCAAACTTATTGAAAGTGCACCGGCTCGAATATTAAATGTGTCTTCATTTGTTCACATGCGTAAGTATCTCGTATATTTTTAATGTAGGTAATGTGAAAACCTAAAAGTCAGGAAAAGTCAAGGATATTTCCATACAGGAGCCATTTTATCCTCGATCCATTCTTGGCTTATTCACAGAAAGCATAAGTAATTATTACTTAGTTTTCATCCACCCCACATTGAAAGGAACCCGCAACAAATGCTGTAAATGATTTCAGATCTATTACATCTCTTTTTTTCGATTTCGATTTTTGAAATATTTCACTTCGGCAACGCCGTTAAAACGGACTCCAGCACAATTCGATTTGTTTATATAACAAACGCCCCTCTTTCTCGAAAGTTCTCGAACGCTTCTGAAGACTCCCGAGTATTCTAGGATATCCTCGAACAAACACGACATATTTCCCAGAAAGAATGCGTCACATACGCTTTCGTTTCTTATCGCCGATTACGCTCGATCTTTAATAGCGCCTTATTATAAGTCACAGCATTATACTCAGCTTTGAAATTTTAGAAACAAAAAATATAATCTTTTCACATTGCTATCGATGCAGTTCTTACTCCCTGTACTACTTATAAAAAATAAGTGGCAAAATAATTGTAATACTGAATCTTTGTTAAAAGTCCATTGGGGCCGCCTCACCCTCGACGATCTAAATTGGAAAAAACGTAGATACAACCCAACGCAGTCCTACTATCAAAGTAAAGTATGCAACATTCTCTTCACAAAGGAACTGGCACGAAGGCTGAAAGGTTCAACCAACGCGCACTTGCTATAAATGATTCTCATTAACCGATTTCAGATGCCAATATTGAGGGCGTGACAGTGTACAGTTTACATCCGGGAATAATTAACACCGAACTTACGCAACATTTTGATTCGGCTTATTTTAGTGGATTTCGGTGGTTATTTAGTAATATTGGGGGACTGTTTTTTAAGTCAGCAACACAGGGTGCCCAAACAACCATCCATTGCGCGGTGGACGAAAACGCCGGAAAAGAGAACGGACTTTATTATGCTGAGTGTGCTCCAAAAAAACCCAGTTGGCAAGCGAATAACATGGAGGATGCAAAATCGTTATGGGATATAAGTTGGAAAATGGTTGATCTTCCAGATGATTACAATATATTCCGTGGTGCTGAAGATGTGCAAACATAATTTAATGTAATCACTACCTACTTTAATTGTTATTATCTCATGTTACCTTTACTTTATAATATTACTATTTTTATTTTAATAGTCCTTTTGCCAACATCCTGCTATACATACTTAAGCTCTTCATAATAATTACAGGGAGTAAGTTCGAGACGTCTCTTCGTCGCCAACAACTACTTTTGACGACATCTTGGTTGTTGAATTTATTTACGTATTACAAAGTATGTAAAAATACTGTTATAACTTGTTTGGTAAAACCTAAACAGCACAAAAGATGCATGTACATGGCGCGAAATGCCTTCTTGGATTAGTTACTCTACTACTATTAATTTACTCCAAATTTTTTACATGAGGAAATGGAAAGGTCACAAACTTGCAAAAAACCGCTACCTTGACATTATCGAGCACGTTGGAAATTTGTTATTTCGAAGGAAATTATTCAAGAATAACAGAAATAATATTTTCCACAGGCCGAAGTGGAACAAATCGCCGATAAAGTTCAATGCATGCAGCAGTTGAAACATGTCAGTTAAACGAGATAATAGGCGCTCGTGTCATAAATTATATAATATAAAACGTTCTGTACAGTCTCCCCCACCATGCAAACCGGCAGATTAACATACCTCCAAAGTCAGAGATACGTGGGGCATATACACTATCATTATTTTTTTTGTACAATATTAAAGAAGTGTACACGCGCCCCCCACCTATGGAGGGATGTACTACATGGTATAACTTTTTTCTTTCTACCATCTAATCTACAAAGTTCAATAGGTCCCCACGACGCTCGAGTAAATACCCATTTAGCATCATAGGCTCCCCTACTATGTGGAAATGATCTATTTATGAACACAAACATATTCGCACATGCAACAGGGCATTACTTGGATGGTAGAAAGCCAGAAGTACAAAAAATATATAGCGACCACTACATGGGTCTAGCCAAAATGAAGTTGGAACAGAAAGGCCACACAAAACAGCACCCAACTTCCCGCAGCGCAACACGGTAGACTAAACTATTCGTTTAAAAAAGTCGCTACTCTAGGTCGTTGCGTCAGAAAAGAAGGCCCGTTTCGATTTTTCTAACGGGCGAATACAAAGAGAAGTGGGAGAGCGAGGGAGATTTGGACGCGTTAAAAATTAGACTTATTAGATATTAGATTAATTTACGAGCAATAGAGTACCTACACTGCGCGTAAATTTTTCTCTCGTTGAAAATTCATTTGTTGATTTTCGTGAACCATCTCGTACCATTTTAAGTGCGCTGAAATTGAATTCTTCGCGAAGTTATAAAAGCAGGCGCGTACTATTTTGTGTACGAGATATTTATTTCCGCGGGATTTAGCATAGACGTACGTGATCACGAAATAGATATTGCATTTTTTGGATTTCTAAACAAAACCACTATTTTTACATCCAAGAACGTGTAAAGAAAAATGGAAATTGAACTATGTTTTTATTAATATATTCAATCAACTAAGTTCTGTATTTTTCTACACAATCGATGACGATAGATAAACTTAGTAGTAATAAGTAAGTAATACATGCGATGGCATTTACTTTTGATGATGTGTATTAAAATATTGACGAAGAATTAATGACATTCATAAAGTTCCACAAGTGTAGTGCGCAACTCTCGAGTTGAATATAAAAATCGTAGTTAGAAACACTACAAAAGAAAAATGAGTTGCTTCAGCGCAAGGTGCACGTCTACTGCGACATTGGTAGGTAAAACGGCCGTTGTAACAGGATGCAACACGGGTATTGGAAAATGTACGGTCGAAGATTTTTACAAAAGAGGTACCTTCCTTTCGATTTGTTCAAAATTTAAAGCACTTTACAGGGGCGCGCGTTATTATGGCGTGTCGAAGCGTTCCAAAGGCCGAAGAGGCAAAGAGCGATATAACAAAACGCTGTGAAGGGCTGCGAGGTATCGGGGAAATTGAGGTGGTGCAACTTGATCTGGCAAGCTTGAAGTCAATTCGGAAGTGTGCCGAAAAGTTACTGCAAGAAGAAGACCACATTCATCTGTTAATTAATAATGCCGGAGTTATGGCGTGTCCTGAATCGAGAACTGTGGATGGTTTTGAGATGCAGTTCGGTACAAACCATTTGGGTCACTTTTTGTTCACTCTAATCCTGTTACCGAAAATTATTAACAGTCCACCCGCACGAATTGTCAATGTATCATCGGTGGCGCATTCTTGTAAGTACACATTAAGGGGTAAATATCTCTCCAGTATTGATTGTTTTATTATTAAAACACGTTTACAAAGTATATCAACATGATGTCTGCTGTAAATAATTCAAAATTTAAATTGAGAATTACAGTCATTACCTTGAGCATGCCATTTGAGTCTATTAACGTTCCTGATGATAATAAGTATGTACATATAGAAGTTTGTTTAACTCCATCAGAAATTATTAATTAAATGTCATTATGATTTGATAGGAGTCTGGAAATATAGTGAAACCTGTATACTCCATTCGTTTCAGTCTTATCAGGCGCACTCCAAATTGAGGATCTCAACTGGACAAGACGAAAGTACAGTGAAAGTCAAGCGTACTTCCAAAGTAAACTATCGAATGTGCTGTTTACAAGAGAATTGGCAAAACGTCTCAAAGGTAATCCTGTCAGATACCAGGAAATCTATATAGAAAACGTGTTACTTAGATCACAACATTCACGGTGTCACAACTTATTGCCTTCATCCAGGTGTTATCGATACCGACTTGTGGCGTCACGTCGACGACAGCTTCTTTAAAGGTGCCAAATGGATATTTTATAATATTGTCGGCCTGTTTATAAAGTCTCAAGATGAGGGCGCGCAGACAATCATTTATTGTGCGGTTGATGAAGATGTGAAGAATGAAAGCGGTTTGTATTACGCCGAATGCGATGTTGCGAATTCTAGTGATCGGTCGAAAGACATGGTGTCTGCGAAGCGTCTGTGGGATATCAGCTTTAAAATGGTTAAATTACCGCAAGATTACGACCCTTTTGTCGCTACCCCTTAACATAAAAAAAATGTACCGAAATATGTTAGTAGATTTCACACTTGGATAAGATCACATTGTTCCCCAACATGCTCACCTGCATTAACCATAGGACCATAGTTGTAAGACAAAATTTCTGTGATTTTGTGAAAAATCATTTAGGGACTACACGTTTATGTACACCATAGGAAGAAGTGAATGAATCACAATAAAATACTTACTGTGTTGATTGATTATGAGTGATTAAGATTCTGGGATTATACAAGTAGATAAGCACAGTTAAGGGAGCTGATGCTAATCAATGCTGGGAAGTTCAACATCTCTTATATATACGTATAATCACATTCTGGCGATTTAATCGATTGTATGATTCTCGAATTTGTTTTGGACCGAGTTTCTCGCATTTTGGAGGCTATGAAATTGGAATTATTAAATATGTAAGTGGCCGCCAGTTGCTAAATCAATTGTTATCTCGTCCATTATTTTTAAAAATTCTTTTCGCTTTATATAGGGTTTGAACCAAGTCAATCAAGGCCGTAATAATATTATTTTCTAATAACCCTAATAATAATGTTAATTTTTTGTGTTCGACGGGAATTTGAATGTGATTTCTTTACAGGGTTCTAATTTTTAGTTTGAGTTTCAATCGTAGTCCCAAGCTCTAATTTTCAAGTTTACATCCTCGTTTAATTATGAGTTCCAGTTTTAATTGACCTTGACACCTGTCCAGCTTTGCCGTCGTGAGCACAAAGATATCACCTTATCTAAGTTAACTTACAGATAACACTTGGAACGAAGATAACGAAAACTTGGTCAAGGAGTCATTTATTTACTTTCAGTCGTCAATTAACCTAGTTTTAGTTAGTGGTTAATTTCTTCTTTGAGGATTGATACTAATGTAATTTCTTTAAATTTTAAATGTCAGTAACGAGTGTTAGCTTCACTTTAACACAGTATTATTAAAGTAAAGATAAGGGGAGCTTTCGGTAATTACATAAATAACGTACAAGCTGACCGGAAATGTTTCTGGTCCGATGCTTCGGATGCCAGCAACAAATTCTTCGCCTCATATGTTAATTACAATGTGGCTGTGGATATTAATATGGAACCAATAACAGAAACTGAAATTTTACAGGCGCCCAAGAATCTAAAAAACTACCACGTCACGCCCTGACAAATTACTATCGTTTCTCTTCAAAGATTTGCATAAATGCATTAATGTATCCGTTACAACTAATATTCGAACTTCCAAGAGGCTGGAAACTGGCTAAAGTTTGGCCAATCTTCAAATCGAATGACCTCAACAATATCTGTAATTATCGACCAATTTCCATACCGAATAGCGTCGCAAAATTTATTGTTACTTTGTGAAAATGGTACGATACGGTTGCTGCTTTAATCCTACGAAAAAGGACTGTAAGCGGCCATGTTATGGGTGGCAAACACAGCTAAAATTTGCTCCACTTTACGATCATCCTATATCCCTCCTATATTTTTCCTTCTTTAAGATTGTATTAAACGACAAAACTGACATTCATACACACACTATGATATTCTATTCCCTTATTTTAACATATGAGAGGTTCCACCCTGTATATACAACTTACGACGATACATACATTTTTGAGAGTTGGCAACCATGCAATTTCTAGGTGGGAAAAAAGCTGCCTGCGCCACCTAGAAAGCACGAACGAGAGTAACGTTTGGCATCTTGCCTTGAATGGCGGTCGTGAACGCGTCGCTCCATAAATGTTTGTTGTTATTTTGTGTTATTTAATGCAGGTAGTAATTTTTGCATTTCTTTATATCGTATTTGTGTTTTGTATGCCGCATTTTATATTTTTTGTGTTTCAATCTATGTTTTTGAAATTTACTTGGTTTAACCCCAATGCAATCATATGTGTGATACCGTTATGCTATTGTTTGTAATTGTTTACGTTTTTGGTGTAATGTTTGCTTAATTTATGTTTATTGATGTTGATTACTTGGTCTTGTCCCTGAAGTTACATTCATGTAAGTTTTCATTTTATTTTAATATGTGGAAATTGCTGATTCGTTTGATGTATGTACTGACTTGTTGTTTGTTACTAACAATTTTCTCCGTGAATGAAGCAGTCTCGGGAAGGTGGAAAAAGAAACTGTAGTCTATAATTATGTGTTAGGGCACCTAATTCCGTGCACTGTCTTCGACATCCAACTGTAGGTTCGAAACCCCGAAACCAGGGGCGGACTACCCATCTTGCAGGAGCGAAATTACGCTAATCAAAGCTCTTCAGTTTAGAATCTATGTGCGTTAAATGAGTGGCGATTCAATAATTTCAACATATTTTGTTTTTAGTCTAATTTGCCTACAAGGCCATGTAATTTTCCATCTTGCTTTCAACAAAAGGACTTTATTGCACCAAAGATGAGTCACATCCTGTGTATTTCACCCTTTCTCAGAATCTTGGTACCTGCTTCTACCTGACACATTGTCCCCAAAAACTTGTTTTAACCTTGAGTGTAACCAACATTGTGTATATGCATTTACTATCTTTGTTAACTACTGCTTAAACTTTTACAAAATATTTTGTTAATTAACTTTTGGACTGTTTTAATCAAACTGCAAGGTTTTTCTTACGTCGTACTCTTTTTATCCTTGGCAGTGACTTTTGCGAGAGTACGACACCTTTTGGCTTTGTTTTGTTTATATTAATGTACATCAACTAAATTTCCGGGTTTTCACAATCATGATAATTACGATCATTATTAAACAAACTTTTTACAATTTCAGTGTTTTATTTAACGTTCCTTCCCTACTGTGCTTCAGGTCAAAGCGTTATCTATAACTAACGTAAGGGGGCCCTGCCTTAGATGTTTTATCACGTGCCACTTTTCAAATTTAAGCGTGATCTTGTTTAGTTTTAGAGGGAATAGTCATTCGGGTGGCCATTTTTAAACGTTGCCGGGTTTATTTTATTTCCGTGTTCTTGTAGTGTGAAGTTAGCGTAGAACCTGGGGGTTAAGTACACTACACATAGGAAATTCATAAATTATCAACTTCAGAAATGGCTTTCATCTTGAAGACTAAGCGATGCAGGAATAACCCGATAGTATAATGCCGAAAACCCCAAAGTTCTACGATATTCCGTTGCCGAAATCTCGATCGATGGCGCCCGAAGAGCCGACAGTGAGTGAAAATCAAACATGCGTTAAAAATGAAATGAGTGAATTTCCAGACTGCGAACCTTATTTATCTCGCCTCCCTTTGAATTTCAAAAATCACAAATAAGAAGGAAATTGGTTTATTTTATGGGAATTTGTAATTTTAGTGTCATTTTAGCTCCCCAATTTCTTCATTTAAGTGTTATCTACGTGGACACGATAATGACGTTGTTATCGTGGAAGTTAATTGATTTTCGAGACATGGCATGGCTGTTTAGCGCTAATAACAAAGGCTACAGGTGTGGATTTCTTTTGCGCTTAGCTATGGTCTGGAAGAGGGAACACCTCAAGCGCTCCTTTTTTGTGTTGCATTCAAATTTTACGGAGAGAGGAAGTGGTCTTCTGTTTAAAAAGCAGAAATAAGAAGGAGCCACGACGGGTAAAAGAGCGTGTACGTCCGTGTGCGCTCATTTTATGAAGTAATTGGCTTTTCTGTTTGTTTGAAGACGCAGTTTTCGTCTTATTCAAAATAATCTGTACAATGCAATTAAGCTAAAGTCTTGAGACCAGTTAATGCGGTTTTTCCGTTAACGGAAGAAGTTACGTCGGTTTAGAAAAGCAGTTTGTGCATCACGAGACTTTGAAGGTTCTAAGTGTTATCATTGTATCAATCGAGTAGAAAAGTATTTGGCATATAAGACAATATGTTTTTCCAAATTTCCAACGACGACGAAGTTTCTCCACTACAAAGTGTGATGTATCATGTATGCAATGTATAGTGTCATAAAGAGAGAGATACGTTTCTCTTCCATTACCTACCATAAGTTGGTTTTCGTTTTTAGAAGAGATAAATCATTATGGAGAGAAGATGGCTGAATGCAGAAAACATGCAGCTTAATCTCCAGTGTTTTACAATGCACCTTCGACATCCGTAGCTGTAGAAGAAATATGAGATATCCCATTGATGTCTGAGGATAACCATAGGGATCCAAGGAAATCCTGGGATGTCCAAAGGTGTCCCGTGGATCAAAATTTTATCTGTGATTTCCGCCTCGATTCTTATTCATTGCGCATATGATTTTGCCGTATGTATATAATTAGAGGTGTAGACTTAGGGAAAGTCCAAACCTTTTGTATAAACAAGTAAATTTATAATGTTTATTTCAGTCGTGAAGTTGTAACGTGATAAGATTGTGGTTTTCATTGACTTATCGTGATAACTGTAATACATAAATGAGCTCTCTGCCCGAATACTGCCTGGGTAATTATCATATTTTGTGTTGAAACTCGCGTCCAAAAATATCTGCGCAACAATCTATAAATAAACTGTTAAATAACCATAGACAATTAGGCAAAAGAAGTTGAAATTTTAAGGTGAAAGTTTATCGATATCACTGCGTCGGCGCTTGAACACGCCGGCAAAGTTGCCCAACCATCGATTTTCCCTATTTCATTTTTGAATAATAATCGGCAGTTGTTTGCTCGCCTATAGTTAATTAAACCTAATCGAATCAATAAGTACATATGTACATATCTCTAATAAATTAGTGAACACGCAAGTTGGTTTAATCGTGACGCGCTTGTTAGAGGAATTAACATGTTTTAATATACAGTAGCGTTTTGCGATATAAACACGTACAAAGTCAACTTATTAAAAATGAGTGCAAGTTCCAAGGCGTTACTGGAGATCGATATAAATCAACCAAGATATGACCAAAGTACGTATGTGGGTAGGGCACAACACTTCCTTCAAGTAACAAATCCATTAAACGTATTTGCAACCCCTGCGGCGTTGGAGGATGCTCGTACCATCGTCACAAAACATAGGTCTGTCCTTATTATTAAAGAACAAATGATGATGAGTGTGGTTTTAGACTGAAGCAAACGCTTCCGGAAGGCTTGGACGAAGATCAACTATGGGGCGCGAAAAACCTGTACGACTCGGCGTTCCACCCCGATACTGGGGAGAAAATGAACATAATAGGCAGAATGTCCGCACAAGTACCAATGAACATGCTGATAACAGGTGGAATGATGACATTTTACAAAAGCACCCCCGCTGTCATATTTTGGCAATGGATCAATCAGTCATTTAATGCTCTTGTCAATTACACGAACAGAAGTGGAGACGCACAACTCAGTAATAGGTAAGCTGATAAATCCAAGTGCCCATAAACCTTGAGTTTACGGCGATTAAATTTGAATGGCAATATTTGATCACAAAACCGATATTATGCTTGGTGCCCTTCGGTTAAAAATATTTTCAGCTGACGAGTAAAGTAAATCCGTACGGTGTAAGTATTTTTAACTTCCCAAATATTAATTTTATATACCTAGATTCGTTGTTTTTTATTGTTCAATTCGTATAGGTACACATTTTTGTGTGATTAATTTATCGCTACTCAACGCGCTTGTTAAGCTAATATAATTTTATGTTATATGCGTCAGATGCTCCTCCCACAAGACTAATTGTATTCATTATTTTTTACAATACGATAAAGCGCGTTATTGTCCTGTATAACAGTGCAAAACTTTATTTTATAGCAAAAGCCATACAAATCATTATAAAACTGAAAATTCTGAATTTAATTTAGAGGTGAAAAATAGCAAGCTTAGGTTCTCCGGTCGTTTCCATGGAAACAATATTGTATACTGTTCTGAATTTCATTATATTTTGTACTACGTGCCCCATTTTTAACAAGAATGACAGATGTCATTAGAAAGCACAATTATTTGTTTCACTTTGTCTGCCATTTTCGCTTTATCTACAGTTAATGTTTAGCCCACTCATTCAAACCTATTAAAATGTCAATTTAACAATCTGCTACAATAAAGTAGTAAGTCATTTCGAGACCTTTTTGTTCAGTTTGGACACGTGGACTACAATAGGCTTTTGCAATGAAAGATGGTTGAAATTCGAAAATTATTTAGAAGACCAGCCCATTTCTCGTTTCTTATTCCTGAAAATTTGCTTGCTACAAAAATAAACACTAAGTGACCAGATAGTTTTTAGTGTATATATATTGACGACAAAGGCAAAAAAAATGAAATCGTTCCAATATACACTTCCCTTTTACAGGATGTTCTACAAATATTTTTTTCTAATAACTCCAAATTTAAAGCAATTTACATGGCACGGTTTCTACGAAATACCCCTAACTAAAATTCCAAATAAGAACAATATACAGGGCGCCCTGGGTTGAATTTGAGTCGAAAATATCCTAGGCCGGTAAAGTGACGGTGCGGCCGGTAAAGTGACGATGCGGCCGGTAAAGTGTAAAGTGACAGGTGCGGCCAATAAAGTGACCGCCGGCAGAAAACGTAGTCTGCTCTGCCTCTGTCATGGAAACTAAAATTTCCGGGCAGAAAGTAGGCATGAAAATGAAAGTTTCAGGACGATTTTGGGTAAAACAATTTTCCAACAGTGTGGGGTTTACGTCCCCTTAATATTATTAAATGAAAAAAATGTTGTCCCTTCCCTCACGGGACGCCCTGTGTATTGGAAAAATTTTCATTCACAATTTTCCTTGAAAATAATTGCAATTAGCCCACGAATTTTCCTTATCGAACATTGAACAAACTATTTAAAACAATACCGACTTTTTAGGGGAATTTTTCGAAATGCGGAGAATTTTCCCACGGCCCCCAGAATTTTCCCAGGCTCAATACTCCTATACCTATTGCAATAGGATGCATTCAATCCAATTGATGATTGTTAAATGAAAAATCTGTGCAGCACTGTAAGATTCGCACTTCCTTAACAGTACCAAACAATATTGCACATCTTTACTAACTTTACAATCGAGTTTCCTTGACTGTCCGCCCACTTACTTTACAAGTTAGTATATCCATTTCTTTGGAATATATGGGCATAGACACTGTATAACACAAATATACTGTTTTCTTAGAACGACTTTGACGTATTAAATCGGAGTAGGGACTTCTAAAACTGATGGTTGAGAAATATTTTCAGATATGAATTACTGAAATTGCCAAATTTAAAACTGTATACTTCTCAATTATTTATCTGGCCCACGTCATTACCAATGTAAAGAAAAATTGAATGGTAAAGGAGTACCTACAAATCAACATTTTTAGCTTCCTAGCATGTGCTAGGTAGCTATTGCGATAGCCGTTTTTTGAACATTTCAAAATTTCATCAAATGTCGACGTTTTAGACCATTTTAAGCAACTTTTAAAGAATAAAATTTTTTTCCGTCTGTATGTACGTACGTACGTTTGTTGGCAATTTGTTGAAATTTTGTATATATGTTTTAGGCATACCGAGCAGAAAAATAACGGGCCGGATTTTTGAAAAAAAATTTTGGAGCGCCGTAACGGCATCGAACTTTTTTTTTCAAATAGCAACCTAAAATTTTTATTCTATTATTTGGAAGACCTTATTTTCCTGTGTACAACCTACAAAAAATTGGGCCGGGTTATATTATCAAAAAACGGAGAAAAAAATTGTCAAAGCCAAAAAATTGTGTTGCATATGTGCAAAACGCAACGATCTTGTTTCTGAAGCAATTTAAACGAAATTTCTATGGTAAGTCCCTTTAATAAAAGCAAACAAAATTCATGCGCAAAAATCGTGTTGCGCTTGCGCAGAAATGCAACTTTCTTATTTATGGAACAATTTTAACGAAATTTGGATGGTAGGTCCTTTTAATAAAAGCTAACAAAATGCATGCGCAAAAAATAGTGTTGCGCATGTGCAACATCCAACTTTCTTATTTAAGGAGCAATTTTAACGAAATTTGGATGGTAGGTCCCTCTAATAAAAACAGTGTGTACATACAGGGTGATTCCTATAGTACCTGACACCGTTTGGGAGCGTGTAGGTGGTGCGTAGGGGAGTATTTTGATATAGGACACTTGGGGTCGGAAATCTAAAATAAGGGTGCCAGAGCCAAATTTACCTTCTGGAATTTCGCGCCTGTAGGTAGGCAACCCAACCGGCCGGCGGTGCACACGGAGCGATCTCAGGCGGCGATGTGTGGCTGACACTTGATCAGAATTTTGTTTAAACCCACGAAATCCCGTCTGCAACGACGCGTATCAAGTGAATAAACACTATGGCAATAGTATAATAATAGTTGGCTAGATGTAGGAAGTGCATTGAGAACAACGGTGGCCACGTTGAACACTTGTAAACGTTATTGCTTTTGACTGTCGTTTTCCCTCCTTCCCTCCCATGTCGCTTCCTCGCGCTAACTCGCTCTGCATCGCTCCGCGCGAAACGTCGGTCGGTTGGGTTGCCTACATACAGGCGTGAAATTCCAGAAGATAAATTTGGTTCTGGCGCCCTTATTTTAGATTTCCGACCCCAAGTGTCCTATATCGAAATACTCCCCTAGACACCCCCTATACGCTCCCAAACGGTGGCAGGTACTATAGGAATCACCCTGTATGTTGGCAATTTTTGGTTTCACCTAGGAAGCTATTCTGTCAAGAATTTGACACCTGGTTTTTTCAAAACCACACAATGATCCCAAATGTTTACTTTGTAACCTCTGTTTCCTCTGTATAGGTGCCGCATCTATAGATTTATTTATTTATTCCTTTATTTTTGAGTGGGAGGGGTTTCAGCTAAGGCTGCGCTACCCCCCATAACCCACTATACATTTACAAATATCTATGTTCGAACTCGGATTCGAACCAGGTACCCTTAGTACCGCAGCCGAGCTAGATTGCCGTTTTAGAACGCTTTTTACCAAATCAGAGACCAATTCGAAATGAGAACACCCAAAATCTAGGTACAGCTGTTAGTTCTATCCTCTACTCTCTGTTGCAGCTTTTCCGGACGTATAGCTTTCAATAATCCTTAGTTTTTTAAAACAAAACCGTGTGTTGTTTCCCTTTACCACCCAATTTTTGAATATAGGTACCTATGTTTTGTTGAAAAATTTATTGCCGCAATAATATGCCATATTTTTTAGAAAGATTTCCTGATTTCATTTCTAAAACGTGTATTACACAGGAAGATTAAAAAGATTAAATTTGGAAAGAAGGCCATCAGATTTAAGCGAGGGCCAATAATACGCTCTATACAGAAATAATTGGCGTAGTTATTTTAAGTACCACTGTCTCGATCCACATGCCGACAAACATTGCGAAGCCAAAATTTTTACTTTCTGGGACCAAACGTGTGTCCTTCCCCTAAAGGTTTGCAATAGGATAGACACAATCAAAACAAGTCAAAAAAATGTTTGGGCCACTTTTTCTGAGATTTGACCCAAAGTTAGTATTTTTTAAATGCAATATACCCTGCCGACAAACGTAAATTTTTTTGCATTTTTTTCCTGATTACATTGATACATCACAACCTTTTTTTTTTAATTTTAGCCATGATAAAAACCCTACTACGGTTTTTAAATAGTCGGCCATGTGATGTGATGCCATGAAGATTTTGTTATCTGTTGTCTCCTACTAAGTATCTGCAAATATTTTTTAATAAGAAGCTGGATACATTTGCGTACACGGGGGATTTTTTGTAATTTTTTTCTCTACCTCCATTCTAACTACATGTCAAAGCACATATCTACTTATACACAGTCTCATAGTCTTAAATCCACAGCTAGACGGAGGGAATTCGTGCAGATATTTGCAATACTTAATACAGACACAGACATATTTCTGAAATCACACTATGACGGTGTAATCATTGTAACCTAAACGCGGTCTGTCGATAAAAATAAATAAAATTCGGAAGATGTTAAGGTTAACGAAAAGCCGGTACGTGGTATAGAAGCGAAGTTTCATCGTGTACAGGCAGACAGACATACAACAAAATAGACGAAGGCATTACTGTGTGGCGCTTAGAAGGAAAAACGCGGTCTCAATCATTTATTCTTAAAAAGGGCTAAAATTAAAAATCAGCACCACAGATGCACTTATCAATGTTTACCAAAAACAATGAAAAGACGTACCAATTATCCCAAAACGTGTCGGCCATGCGAGTTGAAAATTTTCGTCCTCCAGATGTTGGCATTTTTCGACTTCCAGCTCGTAAACATTCAATTCTTCACCAACTACGGTGACACTTATAGTTGTTTCTACTTTCTTCGGTAAAAGTTTCCACTGTGAAGATAAAACGGTATTAACACATGACCTGTTAGTAATTACAGGATCAAAAATGCTATTAACGGACCTAGCACTGGTGGACAGTATCCCCAAATCTTCTTAACAAGCTCAGCAATGATTGTGGTTCTTGCATTGCGAATGCGCGCAAACAAGGATCAAGTATTACCATAGTTACGAAAGTCTAAAATGCAGAGAATAAACCGATAAGAAATTAATTAACGTACCCACCTGTTCGTAATGAAGATAAATATTGAAAAGCGTGCACTCGCTCACCAAATCCCTCCGTGAAAAGAAAGATTTTCGCAGCAGTCGATAGGTATATTGATACTTAATCGCTTATTACGCCGAACGTCGTTCGGGTTTTCCCAATGTCCTTTAAAAAAACTAAATAATTTCATTTAAAATATTCGCCGTCCACGCAGCTTTTTGAGATGCATCTTCAACTTCAACGATTCCTTTTTTAAGCGCCCACCCAACGCAAGAGGTTTAAACACAATCGGTCTTAATCAAAATTTGTAAAAAAAAGATATCTCGATTGGGGTTATAAGGAAATAAATCAACAGCGGTTATTTTATAAAGACACCTGAAATCAGTAATTCACCAAATGGAGAGTGCTTTGGGCCGTTACGAAAATAAATTTCAAAACCTACGAGAACGATTGAACCAAAATTAAAACAGTAGTTAAAAATGATTTTCGAAATACTTTTACATTGAAACTCGCCCTAATCTGTTGATCCCTGACCACCCTCGCAAAATTTAAATGGAGTGATTCGTTTAGTTTGCAGAATACTTTTATTGTCTTAGTCCTTGTCATCTACCTATACTATCAAATACCTTGCAACTCAAAAAACATATTACCAGATTACCACTACAAGTACAAAGTGGTACTTTCCCCATTATAACCTTGTAATGGGGTATATATTCGTCACATAAAATTATTGCTGGGTACTGACTGTCTAACGGGGTAAATAAAAGAAAGGAATGATCGTAGGTTTCCTGTTATTCTGTTGGGGAATTGAATAAACTTAATTTTTTATTCAATGGTTGGGGTATGTCGCAATTGGTATAATACGTAACTGATGGAGTTTTTAGCGCATTTTTGTATTATATTCATTATGGCTGGCTGTCTGGCTGAGATCTCAGCAATTACAATTGAGAGTGAGATCGATAATTTTTAACTTTGCTAATATAAGATACTAATATGTATTACCAAAAATGCGCTTTCATCATCCGCATATGCTGATTTACAACTTGTTTAAATAGCATATTCTCTTTCATTAGGCTCATTTGATAGAGGTTTTTTGTCTTTTCGATGACATAACATGTTAGTACCCTTATACAAGAAAAATTTTCTATATCTTACAACAAAATAAAACAAATGAACGTGTAGGTATCCTATTAAAATTGAAGACAAAACGAAATTAACAAGAAAATGGTTTTCATCGCACTAATAAGTGGTCAAAATGTACGGCTGTGGCCTAACATACAATGAAAAGCCTGAACAAAATTTCTGAGCATTCTGGGAGAAATTGCTTCTTGTATTCGTTGCAGTCCTGAGGTGGGGTGGGTAATCAGGGCCGGCTTTAGGTGCAAGCGGTGTAACCCTCCGCTTACGGCGCATACAACAAGGGGCGCAAAAATTACTCAAATTTGGAGTTGTAAAAGCTTTCAAACGCATTATCTTGTTGCTGAAAGAGCGTGCACATTTGATAACCGCATGTGTGTGATTCAAAGATGTTAAATTATTTTTCTGAGGCCACATCGATTTTGATCGAAATACGTCAAAATCGTTATTTATGCAGCAAGATCGTTGGGAAAAAGACCAAGAGCATTACCTCAATGCCCAAGACATGAATTTGGTGCATTTTTGGCGACCACGTGGATTTTGATCAAAACATGTCAAAATCGTTATTCTTGCATTGATATCGTTGGGAACAAGATTAAGAGCATTATCTCAATGAGCAAGACATGAATTTGATGCATTTTTGTTAACTATAAAATGTATTATGTAAGATTAAAATAAATTGTAGTTAAAAGTGATTGTAATACCACAGATTATCTGTGGTAATACTGAGGATCCTTCGATATTTCGTTGTATCGGTTTATTATTGGGAGTTATTATCAGGCTTTAAAGAAAACCGGCAAATTCCGATTACTTCGGAAGATATGTCAGAAAAACCGAAATTTGCCGATTTACCCCCTTACGAAATCACCCCCATTATGATTTTTTTTGCTTGGTTACCCCCATAATTTTTAGTACAGAGCAAGTTGGAAAACAGGATGGTGCACTCGCACACATCGCCCTAATTGTGCGAGAATACCTATGGGGCATATTTTCCATTTTCCCGGAATTTGACCGATAGGCATTCTCGCACGGTTATGCCGTCGTGCGCGAGTGCACCGTCCTGTTGAAACCAACAGTTTCCAACTTTTGTTTTTTTTTGTGAGTGCCGTACACCGTGGTATTTGTAATAAAAAATGGTACTCTACATAATATGTACTTTTTCAAATAGATTTTCATGTGCAGAACGTAGCACAATACTAGTCGTCAAGTTTGGGGCCCTAAAAAGTCATATAAATGAAAAATCAATTATAAATCAAGGAGTGTATGAGGCAAATTGATTTATTATGTGATTATCTCAGCCCAAAAAAAAGATTATTTCTAACATTACGGCGTTATTAATAATGCTGAATCCTGATAGGAATATTTGATGGACTTACGGTTTTTTCACATTCTAAAGGGTCCCAAGCGGCTAATGAAAGGATGATCTGGGTTAGGATTTGCTTTAATAAAAAAAGATGTCGAGAAGAAAAAGAATGTTTGGCAAGGAGATGAATTTTGCCTTCTCCAAAACGTGTATTTCCGTAAAAAAAATAGTGGGGCCAGTTTTTACCCCAATGCAATACCTCCCTTACTAACGTGCGGGTGGTAAAAAATGATTGATGGAAGATGAAAAAAACGACCATACATCAGTTCCTGTACAAATCCCTACTAGGTCAATAAAAATTATCGTGCTTTACTGCTTGTTTTTCCAACGAGATATTGGAAAGTACAACCGCCCCGTTTCCTATTGATTTCGTTAAATATTTAGATTTGTTTTTGAATTCCAGCCTTGGATTAGTAAACTTATTACTTATTTGATGGTTCAGTAAAATTCGTTGTGAGCTATTTATGTACTTATTAAGGGCAAAAACCAATAAATTATTGCTAGAAGAAGTGGGGTGCAATAAATACCTGAACACACAGTCCAGGATTGGTCGAGTACCTAATTTTCTTTTTACCCGGCTCTAAATTCGCGCACAAAAATTGGTAAATTTCAATTATTTGTACAAAAAGGCACTCAAGGCCTAAACCTAAAGTTAATTGGGTTGAAATTTCATGGTGATGGTGATCACAGGGTGCTCTTGGTTTTGCCAAAAGCGGTCATTTCATTTTAATTTTCGCGTGGTACCATATCGCGTTACTCGTTGTAATTATGATATTCACAAACATTGTATTTTTTGCAGTCATCTTCTGACATCTTACGCTTGTGCAACTGGCGGCGCTTTAGTAACAGCTTTGGGTCTTAACCGATTAGTAAAGGTAGGTAATCACACATTTCAACATCAACCACATTAAACTAATTCGTTTCAGAATGCTTCTCCTATCGTTGGTAGGCTAGTGCCATTTGCAGCGGTTGCAGCTGCCAATTGCGTCAATATACCTCTAATGCGATCTCAGTAAGAAAAATTAGAAATTGTATAAAGTATTACAAAAGTTTCTTCCAGAGAATTAATAGACGGTACTCCGGTTTACGATAAAAACGACAACAGAATTGGCGTATCCCAGCGAGCTGCGCGTGATGGTATTATTCAGGTTACTTTCAGTCGAATAGCCATGGCAGCACCAGGCATGGGTACGTTACAACACCCCCCTAGGCCATTGTAAATCACATTCTTTGTCATTTCAGTATTAGTTCCATTTGTCATGAATCGTTTGGAACGGAAGGGAATCTTACGCCGACTACCATGGATGACACTTCCCATACAAGTATCCTTGGTTGGTCTGTGCCTAACATTTGCAACACCATTAGCGTGTGCAGTGTTCAAGCAACGAGCCGAAATCAAATATGATAACTTAGAAGATGATATAAAGGTAATAAACTGGCGGTGGGGATGTCGGGTGATTACTTATATGTGCAATTCGTAGGAAAAGTTGAAGCAGAAATTTGGACCGGAACTTCCTCACACGTTATGGTACAACAAAGGTCTATAAAGAACAATTAGTAAATGCTTAATAAAGGCAATGTGTCGACAATAAAATGCAAATTTATTTCCGATGTTATTAAATTACGAAAGTTTACCTGAGTATTTTGATGAGTACCAACACCCTGTAATAATTTTTCGTGGAGAAGCAAGAAATGTGTTGACAATAAAACGCACATTTATTTCCGCATCGTTTACTTAAATATTTCAATTTCATCCAACGATCAAGAAGCTTTCATCGGAAAAGATGTCAGGTTGAACCGCTTGCCAGGCTGCAGGTAGAACGTCGCATGGGGTCGTTACCACGCGAATATTATCAGGCAATGCAATACAAAAACCTGAAACACATTCCGTAGTTTCTCACATTCCTAGTTGCTGGCATTGGTACCTGGAAACCACGATGGCTTTTGGGATCCACGAAGTTGAACGTGCGAGGTAAATCTGGGTGGTTGTGGTATTAAATGGTATTCCAGTACGTTCTCGTCTTCATTGTGGTAGAATAGCGGAACGTTATCAGAAACATTTAAAGTATCGACCCGCTGCGCCTGACTTGACGGAGCGGCACCTGCCAGGTCCATAATCGGTTGCAGTTCTAGTAAAAAAATCAAAAATGTTATTCCAAACACTTTTATTAACGCACCTTCAACGCCCCACGGCGGTTTTTCATCGCTTATATACACAGGATATCCGCGTCTTTCAGCTTGTCCTGTAAACAAATGATTGATTAATAGCAAATAATGGAAGTCAGGAAAAACCTCGCTTAGCAGTGTTGTTAATTTTCGGCCTCGTCTTTCCTTGTAGCACGCGAGTAGAGTATATATTATCAGTTGGCGATCTAGCATTGCAATCTCTTGCGCGCGTAGCTAAATGCTCGATTTCAGGTGGAACGGATTCGGTTAACACGGAAGAAGGCACGTCTTCTGGTACCACGACTTTTTGCATTGGACTGGGAGCCACGGGTCTGAAACAAAACCGATATGTTACTTATGTAAACATTCAGTATATAAGAGAAAAGACTCTGTCGACAAATTAGTTGAAAATTGTGTACAGTGAAACAGTTCCGAAAATATGAGCACCTTTCTCAAAAATCTTGAAATTACCAGGCGATACAAAAAGTTCAATTGTATTGCATAAGGCGTTGCAGCATCCAATTTTCCGAATTGCTGCTACCTTTTTTTTCGACTGTAATTTGGAAAAAACCTTGACTCGACAATAAAAATGTAAGAGCATTGCTTTGAGACATTACTCATGATCAAGTGTTGTGGAAACTACAAATTTTAGAGCCAGACCACGGTTGGAATACAACGACTAAATAGACACGGGTGGTGCCATCTACTTCATCGCATGGAAAAGAATGGCTGAAGATCAGGAAGGATGGAGAAAAATTAGCATTGTATACTGACATTTGACAATAGTCGTTAGGTTAGCTCAAATTTATAGGACAGATACTATAAGAATCTATGATAAGAATCCACCGGCCACCCTGTAGATAAAGAAAATTCTAGGTTAGGTTCATGGTTAGGTTGTGGAAATTAAATTTGTATTATTCCTTATTTGCTAACTTTAAACGACAGACCCAGACAATGAGAAAGTCAACTTTCAAAAAGGGAAAGCCTGGAAAGGCTGTCGGTAAACCGAAAGTCTCGCAGACCAAAATTAATTTCAAGGTGTTAGAACCGCCTACGAAAAGTGCAAATGACAAAAAGGATTATAAGTACTGTGCCCCCATACTGCAGGTCTATAACTAATAACTCGACATTTTAGAGTGATACAGTTGCAAAACGGCTTAACTGCATGCTTAATATCTGACGTGATGGGAGACGACGATTCTGATTCCTCTGACGATAGCGGCTCAGAAACAGATGAGACTGTGACTACCGAATCGGAGGTGGATAGCGATTCGTCGGACAGTGAGGCGGGTACCAAATCAAAATCTTCGGACAGAGAAACAAAAATGGTATAGTACACTGTTACAGTACTCATTAAGGTAGACAGTACATCAGTTTTGAGTACTGGAAAACAATTCTGTTACCTAACAGTTTCCAACATTTGATGTACAGGGTGGAGCCACTTGTCGGTACATTAGATATTGACAATTAGTACTATTTTGTACTTTCTCAGTACTAAATATACAGTGTGTCTACTTAAGTTGGCCACATATGGTTTAATATAAGTTTTACAAGCATCTCTGCTTTCAAAAATAATAATATACGATATCTTCCTAAAGACTATGAAGGCGAGACTGAAGGTTTATTCATGTTAGCAATACAAAACCAGGTCATTAACACACGCAACTAGAAAAAACAAAAACACTGACACATGACTTGCACAAACTGGATACAAACATCGACACAAAATCATGTAGCTAGAATCATACATCAAAAATTAGCTCTTAAACAGATAAGGCACCATACCACAAATATACTCCACAGATAATACTTGAAAACAACAGACATAAATTATATTGGGATAGAACCAGACATTACACTTAGGTATAACTAAACATGCATAATAGACATTGCTATTCCCAACACTAACAACTTGACCCATACAGAAATACCTATACAGGGTGTCCAGAATATTTTGACCATTTCAATTTTAAATTAATTTATGCTGGTTATAGATATCCGGTGTAGCCGAAATTTTTGTCAATCTGCGATAGTACCCAAATGGTAGTACTGATGTACTGACGATCTTTATACATACGCGTACTATGTGCAAATAGCTTATCCATAAATTCTAGGCGGGCGCGGCTTTGTGCGTGGGAGTCGGAAGTATGAGTGATCCCAGGGAGATTCCGGGTCTGGCACATTTCTTAGAGCACATGGTCTTCATGGGAAGTGAAAAATATCCCGAAGAGAATGATTTCGATTCGTTCATCAGTGTAGAGCGCTCTCATTTAATGGTACAGCTTTCGTACTTAACGTATAATTGCAGAAACACGGTGGTTTCAATAACGCATCAACCGATTATGAAGTAACAACCTTTCACTTTGAATGTTTCGAAAAACATCTGCCAACCGCACTACATAAGTTGGCACAATTTTTTATCTCGCCACTCATGAAACGAGATTCGATGACTCGCGAACGGGAGGCTGTCGAATCGGGTACTCTTCGTAGGTGTGCAATTGAAATACTCATCGAATGATAGAGTTTCAGCTTGCTGTCCCTTCGGATGATTTTCGAAAGGAGCAGTTGATAGTTAGTATGGCTCAGGATTCCTCACCAGTCAATTCGTTTTCGTGGGGCAACCTTATCACATTGAAAGACAATGTAAGCGATGACCGGTTGTACGAAATGCTGCATGAATTTCGTAAGCGACACTACTCGGCGCATCGCATGACTGTTGCGATACAGGTAATGTCAAATGGCTGGATTCGCTCGTGATACTAAGACCAAAGAGTAAATGAGATTCTGCTTTTTATTACCGTGTAATAATCCCAGTCGCAGAGGGTGTACTTAAGAATTGAACACCAAGAGGACCCTAGACATGAAAATAATTATAAAAATTACAGATACCTTTGATGAAACTGGAATATAGATTATGGCAAGGTTGCCAAATATATTATTCATAAATTTTTTCCACATGGGGGGTAGGGTAGGTACAAGGACAACACCTTCCCTTAAACAGATGAAACTTACACTTACAAAGCTTGTTTGGGCATATTACCCCGCACGCACACGGTCGATAATTAAAAAGAAAAGTGTTCAAGTAACTCGCCAATCACAACGAAACGCGCCAAACATCCCCACTTCTCCAACAAGAAACGCGCAACTTTTCGCAACACCTTATCTCTTCGTTATGTCGCCTGATAAAACTCCTTATCGCATATACAGGGTGTCCCGTCATTATTCATTCCAGGCGATTCCTCTGAATTCAGTAGTTCAAAACCGCAAAAGTAAGTCCGGACAGACAGACAAAATGAAAACAAGCGCACTTTTTTTTAATTTTTAAATATACGCGAACTATATCTCTACGGTCTTGGTATCATAAGCACTCGCCTCTATCTAATGCATTGCTTTAGGCTAGGTTGCCGATTGCTACATTGGAAAAGTTGCTTGTCGATTGTTTTTCGCCTATTCCCAACAATGGGTTACCACCTGACGATTTTAAAACGTTGATTGGTGATACATTCGATACTCCCAAATTTCGTCAGTTGTATTACGTAAAACCGGTAAAGGATATTTGTCAGGTAGGTAATAGTAGCTTAACTTCATTCTTCTAATTGACATGTCTGCGTATAGGTGGACTTAACGTTTTATTTACCCTCATTAATACGTTTGTATCGTGTTAAACCTCATGTCTACCTGTCATGGATATTGGGTTATGAAGGCAAAAATAGCTTGTATTCGTACCTGAAGAAGAAGTATGTGAGTGTTAACAGCTGTGTCAAAGTTTTAATGGTGTTTTATTTAGGGTCTGGGTACTCTCCTTAAGCGCAGCTAACGAGGAATCGGGCGCGGAATATAATTCGATATATGCAACATTTACGATCAGTTTAGTGCTGACCAGAGAAGGTTTTAGCAATATAAAGGATGTAAGTCACACAGTTCCCGAGCGATAAACTCATTTTGATTACAGGTTGTTGAATCTGTTTTTTCCTACATAAATTTATTAAAAATTAATGGACCAAGTGAGAGAATCTTTAGAGAAATGCAGTCGATTGGCGAAACTTCGTTTAGGTTCGAAGAGGAAGAGACCGCTGCTGATAATGTTGAAGATTTAGTCGAGCATATGCAATATTTTCCTTCGAAAGACTATTTAACGGGAGATACTTTGGTATTTGATTATGACCCTGATGTAAGTTTAGAGTGCTGTGTTTCCCAGTTACAACTCCTGCTTCTGATTTCATTCCCTTTTCAAAAAGTGTACTATGTAATGACCTAATTCGCGGTGTGCATAAGCGTCCTGTCATAAATAATATACTAACACAATTTTTGGAAAAATTACTAAATTTGAGCGTTTTTGAGATATCGTAGTACGGACGGACGGCTGGACGTTCAGAGTAGCTGCTCTCAATATCGCGTTGCTTAACAAATACAATATTCTGGCATCATATTCGTTGCATGCACTGATAGGGCTGCAGCAAAATTCACCTTAAGGTAGGAACACACCTGCAGGTGGACGTGTCAATTCTACCCGTCTCGTCGCGTCAAATTACACTCATTATTGTAAAACATAGATACGTACGCAAACTTGACCAGAGGTCCCTACATTTTAACAAGCAATTTCACGTTTGCAATTAAGCATGTGAATCTAAATAAACAAATAAACGTATTTAGTTGATCGTCCCCTTTAGAATGCCCACAAGACAACCAAGATCTGTAAACACTTTGCGGTTCTTTTTCATAAAATTAGACAAGAGCACATAATGCCTCTGTAAAAATGGCAGTAATTTTGAGGAGCGCAAAATATGCACACGTGTGGAATTATTCATGGCAAAAATTAGAATTTGGGGTTGTGACAAGGTTATCGGAAACTGCTGGCTATACTCGATAAGTCTGGGTACCTATGCTTAATGCAAAGAGTAAATTATGGTTACTCTTTGCTTAATGTTTCTATTTAAGGCTATAACCATGGTACTAAACAATTTGGTTCCAACCAAAATGAATGTGATGATCAGTTCCGCTGATGTTCCAACGAATATTGTATACGATCAAATCGAACCATGGTTCAAAACTCAATACAAAGCCATAGGTAAGTGAAGCCAACATTAACAAAACTTCCTAATTAATTGGTATACACATAGATATCCCCTCCGATTGGTTGGAATGTTGGAAAAACGCAAAGCCCTTACCAGAATTCAGCCTACCCGGCCCCAACCCTTTCGTAACGACCGATTTCTCCATCTTACCCAAACAGAAAAACTTATCCAAGTATCCGGAGAAGGTATTGGACTCACCCTTGATTGAATTATGGTATCGGAAGGATGATAAATTTGAACTCCCGTTAGCTTACTACTATTACTATTTGATCTCGCCTTTAGCGTTGAAGTCGGCAGCAAGGTGAGTAACGGGTGGTGGTTCAGAGAGGGCGACTACATTACACCTACTATTCAGTACTTGTATGATGGAAATGTACGCAATTTTGGTGCAAATGAATTTTGCAGAAGAAGGATATGATGCCTTGTTAGCCGACTTAGAATTTGAGATTATTGCGGGCGAGAAAGGACTCGCCATTAAAATCTCGGGGTACAATGAAAAATTAAACGTAAGCCCTCTGTCCCTTTGCACACATTACACGGTTTCTTTTAGTTACTTATAGAACTGGTGGGAAAGTGCTTGAAAAACGTATCTCAAACTTTCTCAGAACCCCTGTTCGATGCCATAAAGGAAAAGTTGAGGAAATCGTATTACAATGCGATTATAAAACCATCGAAACTATGCAAGTTGGTTTCAGTAGCGTGCAGTGTTTCGGAAATTAAATTT